CACCTCATGGGCCACCAGGAGCAGGGTCTGGAGGAGCAGGGTGGGGTAAGGTCCCGCTCATCTGACCCCCCTTGCCCCCACCCCAGCACCACCTCCCACACACCTTCCCTCCCAGTGACCAGAGGGAAGCTGTTCCATTCCAGCCGTCCTGTCTGCTCTCCAGCTCACTCAGGATGGTCTGTTCCCTACACACTGGGTTTCATTTCTATGAAGCACCCAGAAAAGGCAAGTCCAGAGAAACTGGGAGTAGAAGACGGCAGCCTAAGAGTAGGGGAGATGGGAATTGGGCAGGGGGTGGTGATGACTGATGGGAAAGAAATTTTCTTTGGGGGTGATAAAAAGGTTTAAAACTTAACCATGGAGAAAGCTGCACACCAGCAGCACTGGAAACCCACCGAACTGTGCCCTGGACAGGAGGGGATTTGTATCTCTTCAAAGAAATCATGTTTGTAAATAGTTCACTATTTCCCCTTTTCCGCCTGCAACCATGAGGTTCATGTTGAACGACAGGGAGCAGACTGCCCCAGTTCCCTCTTCTCATAGCAACTTCCTCAGCCACCGGTCTCGGTGCTGATGTCCCCTCTTTCAGGAGGCCCTCCGCAGTGCGCAAGGTTGGGTGTGTCAACTTTCCTGGCTCTCCGTCCCAGGCCTGCCCACTCTAGACCACCAATGTCAGGGAACGCGTCTGTCTCCCCAACTGGATCACGAACTCCAGGGGGACACAGAGAAGTGCTGGCAAGGGCTGACTGACAGATGCCCAGGCACAGCTGAGGAGGGCCTGCATACCTGATGGTCCTCAAAGGATGGGTTGTACGAGGCTCCGGCAGGCGTCACCTCCACAGCAGGTGCCTGGGAAGGCTTGGCGTGGAGATGTGGTGGCCGCTGGAGGAAAACAAGACTAAGGTGAGATAAGGCCTAGAGCCCATGACTCAACTTCCCACAAGCTACTTGCTGACTTCCCTTGCACCCCCTGCCACCACCTGCCTGCCCTAGCACTGCTGCCCTAGGACTTTGCTTTGGGTTGTCCTCCCTTCCACTCCACACTCATTCCAGCTCTGCCCTCACGCCCTTGGGATCCTGAGGTCCCAGGGCCCTTGTGCCTTCTCCTTCACCACCCCATCTCCTCAGGAAATCCGCCTGGACCTTATCACTCTCCTTGTGAAAACCTTTAGACTAAAACTCGGATTTAGCGTTCTGCTCCCACCCCTCCACCCAGGCCTCCTCCACTTCAGAGCTCACAGCCGCTCCCACTCTCGGGGCTCTCGCCCTCCTCCCTTTGTCTCTAACTAGTACCACCAGGCTCCTCTCAGGGAGGGTTCCCGCGGACCTGACTCAGCCCTGCCCTCGTCCTTCACAGGACCAACCACAGCTCAGCTCAATGGGCCAATGCTGACATGTTTACCTACTTGTAGACTTTGACAGGAGCCCCATGGGGATGAGAAGCCCCGCCACAACCCCACTTGCTCCCTGCCACACACTCAGTGCCTAGCAGGGCGAAGAGATTTGTTATTGGTTAAATGCATGAAGTTGGACCTCAGAGTCAGCTCAAGGAAAAGAACCTACAAATAATCGAACACCAAAGCGGACAGGGTTCCTATAGAGGACTGGGGAAAATAGGGAGAACTAGGACCCAGGTGCAGTCACCACAAAGGAATGGACAAAGTCGCTGTGCTGGTACCAGGAACCCAAGCAACTACCCCTGGAGACGAGTCTCCCTGGCCTTCACACAGGCAGGCATACTGGACCCAGCCCCTCCTCACATCTCCCTTGTCCAGGGTGCCCTCTGGGCATGTCCTCACCTTCACTCCTTTCTTCTTGGTCTGCTCCAGGAAAAACGTGTCCTGGCCAGCCAGCGGTTGGTCCAGAGGATCTGTGAAGGCAGTGAGGGACAGCTGGGGCTTTCCAGTGCAGGAAGACACGGGCCCTAAAAAGCTCTCTCCCTTCTTCCTCCTTTCATAAGATGGCAACGAAACACGGGCAAGGGATGAATACTCAGACTACTGAGATGGAGCCCAGAGAGCAGAGAGGACCCCTAGGTTAAGAGGCAGGAGTAGCCCTCAGGAAAGTCCACCCAGAAATGGGGAGCACAAGTGTGAAGAAGGTGCTACTTCAAGACCAGTGACTGCACGAAATCACCTCACAGGGCACCCCCTTAGGCATCATGATTTTGTGCAGTGCACAAGTGTGCATGGCAGCCTTGTCCCCACCCCAGTGGACAGCAGGCACTCACTATCTTTGGCCCAGATGTCATAGAAGGGCCGCTCAACGGTGTCCTGGGGCCCAGGCTTGGCTTTGGCCACAGGAGGGTTGAGGAGCCAGGCCTGGGCCCTGCGCACATCCCGGGGCAGCACACCCTGCTTGGCCAGTTGCTCCCATAGCTGCTCCTTCCGTCTGAGCTTCTTGGCATTGGGGACCTGGTGTGCAAGGATGCTGGGTCGGGGAGAAGCCGACAAATGCAGTGAGGCCTGAGAAGCCACTGGCTCTTCCTGTGCTGGACCCTCACCACTTGGGCAGTTCCTCTTTCTCCTACTCCAGCCAGTAGCTTCAGAGACCATCTCCCCAGTTCTGTCTCTCTGTTTCCAGCCTCTCTCCTGAGCCCCAGACCCTGTAGCACAAGAGCCCTGGGGCCCATGCTCTGGAGTTCTCCAGGGACCTCACACACACACATCAAAATCAACTGTGCCATAAGTCCCAAGCCACTCCTCTTCCCATACCCCCATCTCAGGGACACCCTGCTGTCTACCCCATCAGCCACTCATCTCCACCCCTCCCTCAGAGGTCAGTAAGCCCTGCCTGATCAACCTCAGATTGGGGTTTTCATCACTTATCTCCTCTCCTGAGCCCCTTCTTGACGCCCCAGCCCCGTACCTACCACCCCCAACCTGCTTTTCAAAGCCCAAAGCTGACCCCATCCAAGTGACCCTCCTTCCCTAGGAATTCCTTCTGGCCAGGAAGTGGGTGGGGGCTGCTACAAAAAAGAATGGAAAGAAAGGGCAGGGATGTTGGGACACTCACTCTTTGGGGGCAGGGATTTTGGATGTGTTCTCAAGGATGAGGTCAACTCGAAGGGGTTTCTTGAGAAGCAGTGACCTCTTCTGGCTTTTGGTCCCTTTCTTATTCAGCTCTAGAGGTGGGAGAAAGAAAAGGACCTAAGGCCTCAATCACCATGCCCACTTCCGCTTCAGAGGAGTCAGCAGACCCATAACCTAGGGCAGACTTGGAGGCCCCCCAGATGAGTGAGGAAAGAGGCCTCCAAGAGAAGGACTTAGGTGCACATGCTCTGATCACCCCACCACCATCACCACACCCTTCTCCTGGATCAACTGGAAATAGCCCTGGGCCCCCCACCGTGGAGGGAGGTCCAAGGCCCTGCCCACCAGAGGCTTCCAGACAAAACAGGACAACGATCCCAGAACTAGTAACACTAAGGAGGAAGACAGCAGGTGGTCAGGCACTGAGGCCTGGGGACGGCCACACAGCTGGACTAGTTCAGCTAGTCTCAGCCTAGCAGTTGAAAGCAAGACACCTAGGGCAAAACACAGGAGAGGATCGATATCCACCCATCTGCTGTCATCTCGTAGGGGTGACTTTGCTCCTCTATGCTTTCCAGTAGGAGGGTGCCATGCACACTGCTGCCTACCTCCCAGGGTGGTGGGTTAATGTCATTATTTTAAGGGCACAAAACAATCTCTATTCTTCAATAATTTTTATTTTCCTTAAAGCTAAAATAGAATCTGTAAGCTGCCCAAAGAGACTTTCTATTGGCCAACATAGGCCTTAACTATCCTCTCACTGCTCACCAGGGCAGGTTCCCAACTTTATATTCACAAGTATTTCAGATTTAATAATTTGTGTGAGAGCCATCTTCTTAATTAACATGCTTTACCTGCTCACCCAGTCTCCTATGCCTCAAAGCAGGTGCCTTCTTCCTGCTCACTGAAACAGGGGCTCTCATTTTCATTAGAACAGACCCCTTGACTGATTTCAGACAAGCTAGTTAAGCTTGTCCTGCTGATAAGAAGCTTCCCATTTTGCTCTGGTTTATGTGCTCTAGTTTGTGTTAAAGATCCTCCTATCAAATGTTTGTTTCCAAGTCATTTCACTAATGCAGATCTTCTGGGAGGCCCAAAGTGGGCCATCATTGCCACGCACCACCACCAAAGCCCTTCCTCACCTTTTTTCTTGGGGCCTGTGTCCACGAAGAAGAGTTTTTCATCAGGAGCCTCTGACACCAAGCCACTGGGAGATGGAAATGCAGAATGTCAGTCAAAGACGTCGCAGAGTGAGCGGGTTTAACCTCTCTGGGCCCAAGATCACTCGTTTGCCCGAAGTTGAAATTTATTTTTTTTTTTTAAAGATTTATTTATCCATACAAGCACTGGGTACAGTCAGAAGCGCGGGAGGGTGAGAGAATTCACCAGAGCCAGAGCGGGGAACAGATCAGGCAGACTGACGAAGAAGTACACTGCTGAGGGGAGCAGCGGGCGCCGCAGGAGAGGTCTGCGCGCCCAGTGAGACCCTCGCCCGGAGGCCGGGGATCGAACCGGCGCCGCAGAGGCTGCGGGCAGCTTCGCAGCCCAGCGCTCAACCGCTGCGCCACCGGGGAGACCCCGAAGTTCACATTTAAACGGACCTCCTGCACTTTTATCTGCTAAGCCTGATTACCCCACCAGTCCCTCCAGCCTCCCACCCAGGGCCCCCAGTCCCCCCGGAAATCCCCCTAGGCACACTCAGCCTCGTACCCAGCCACACAGACCGGGGGTCCCACTCCCGGAAGTCCCGCCCCACGCACCCGCTCGTGCGCTCCTGCAGCCGTACGTCCTCCAGGTACTGGTCGACCTCCAGCCCCAGCGGCTCCTGAGCGAGCCGCCGCCAGCCCCGCTTCTTATTTCTTGGGCCTTGCCGCCGCCGCCTCAGCCCCGGGTCCACCGAAGTGGGCCGTAGCCCCAGAAAGCCGGAGTCGGCCTCGCTTTTTGAGGCGCGCCTGCGGCCACCACCACCACTGCCCGCCGCCATTTTGTCAAAGGAAGTGTGAGGTCGTGCGTCACCCGAAAGCCCATTTCGGACTTGCCGGAGCAGCTCCCCCGCCCTCTCCCGGGACCGACTTCCGGTGGACGCCATCTTGGTAAAGTAGGCGGCGCGGCGAAGGGGCGGGGAGGCCGCCGTCGTGGGTGAGGGCCGAAGGCTCCTCCCTGAGGTTCAGATTAGTGGCGGCTTTGATTTGTAGGTTCTCGGCTGTAGCCCCAGGCAAACTCCCTTTTCCGGCCGTCCAAGAATATCTTTCCTTAATGTAAGTTTTAATGGTGACTTTTATTATTCGCTGATTATTTTTTCCATTCTTTACGAGAAAGGTCAGTTGTCGTTGGTGGATTCAGCACAAGACAAGTTTACATCTCAGAATATGCCAATCCTGTTATCTTGGAGATCAACAAGCTTTCGGAATGTGGAGCTTGCAAGCACAGAACGTGATAGGCGGGGAATGTTAGAAACATTCACTGTGTTAGAACGCGCGACCCAGATTCAGAGTTGTTCGTCTTTGGGCAAACTACTTGTCTGTGCCTCAGTTTCCGCGTCTTAAAATAAGGATAATGGCACTGCCGCTTCGCAGGTTATTCTGACGATTAAATGAGATAGTATTTTTTAAAAAGAGATTTATTTATTGATGCATACAAGAATTGGGGTATAGGCCAGAGGCGCGGGTGTGTGTGTGGGAGGATTCACCAGAGACAGAGCGGGGAACAGAACAGGCAGATGTACTGAAATACTCCCTGAATACTGTACTGAAATACTGCTGAGGGGAGCAGCGGGCCAGTCAGGAAGGGTCTGCTGCGCCATGTGGGTCAGCTCCCTGGTCGGGGATCGAACTCGTGTTGCAGAGGCTGCAGAGAGCCTCATAGGTTGCGACTTAACCCCTTGCGCCACCAGGGAGGCCCGAGATAGTATGTTTATATAAAGCGCCTAAGATTGTGCCCCGACATCGAAATGTTAGCTCGTATTGCGGCCTCGTGTCCCCAAACTTTATCTTTGAACCAGCTGGTCTTGCCATTGACAAATAAGGAAGGAACCCAGGCCCTTGCCTGGCAACCATCCATAGGGACCCAGGACCTCATGCAGGCTATTCTCCACTGAAAGGGGCAAAAAAGGCGCCGAGAGGGAAGGCGCCACGCGGAACTCAGCCGGATGCTGGCGCAGGGGATCAGTGACCTGCGCTGGAGACCTGAGCTGGGGCCACTTTGGACAGGGGATTCGGCGCGGGCCAGCCTGGCTACGAGCGTCCGCCAGGGGGAGCCGGGAGCCGTGAACACCGGGGCGCGTGGGCGGGCTTGCACGCAGCCAGCTTGTCCCCCTAGCTTGTCCCTGGGCGCCGCGGGTGTGGTCCCGCGTGTGCGTCCGTGCGAAAGCGCAGGGGCTTCGCCACAGAGCGGAGGCCGAATCCCCTGGGCGTGAGCCTGCACACACAGGGCGGTCCTCTTTGGCAGCGTTCCCTCCTCCCCTCAAGGAGCCCCTTTGTCTGTCGTGTTAACGAGTCGAGAGTGACATGCCCAGGTTGTGGGGGTGTACGCTGGGGCGCACGCACGCACACACACACACATACACACCACACACTCAACAGGGCTTGGTTCCCAGACCACCCCCACTACCCTCCCCCCCAGAAGGGAGGGAGGGATGTCCCAGAGGGAGGGCCCCAGGGTGACTTTTCTTTGGAAAATATGTCGGTCTGGCCCCCAGCCCAGGCCTGAGTCATCAAGCCCCGTTGCTTTGAGTCATGGCCTCCACACCGCTCTTGAGCGCTTGGAGGGGACCCCCCACCTCTGGTCCTGCCCAGGGCTCCCCTTCCCTAAGGGGTGGGGAGGAAAAGCGATTCCCCCTCCCCCCAACACACACGCGCGCGTGCACACACACACACACACACACACACCCATCCCAAGACAGCCTGACTCCCTCGTGGAAAGAAGCCATGACTTTATTTGCTATTATGTTCACAGACCCCCTCCCAATCAGGGGGCAGGGGTGATAGTGCATGTGGGAATCCCAGAGGGCATCCTACTGTAGGGGGGGCATTATCCCCACCTATTTCACTCTTCACCATTTTTCCCATGGGGTCCCCCACCAGGGTTAAGCACTGATATGAACGCAGGAAAAGTGTGTAGAGGTGCGCAGTCTCGTTAGGGGTGGGGGAAGGGTTGTAGCACCAAGGACCCTCCCCCGACAAAATCCCTGAAAAGGGGACCCATACAGCCCTGGGGCCTATATATCTTGGAGGGGGCCACTTAAATGTGGCCCCATGGTGGGCAGACAGGCTGCGTCCTAGCAGTCTAAAATAGACCACCAGCTGGGGGAACTCTTGGGGAGGGATGGTGAGGCTGGACTTTCAATCCCCTGCAGGTGGGTGGGAACTGAATACCTGAAAGTGGGTACAAGTCTGTAGGAGCAAAGATGAAAGGGACATTTAAAGAGAGGGGTGTTCTCAGAACAAGAGGCTGAAAAGGGAAACCCTTGAGGAAGTAGGAGATTTTGTCTCCCCTTTGCGTGCCCTAATGGTCCCAAAGCCTGAGGACATGATGGAGTGGGGACTCCTTGCTGGCTGGGTAACAGGAAGTGGAGCAGAGGGGCCAGGGCAGTCTGTTAGTCATTTCAACTAGGTGGCTTCTCCCTCATGGAGAGAGACAAGGGGTCCTCCCCAGATCAGGGATCCGACTGGGTGTGTTTATGCACGTGTGTGTGTGTGTATGCGTGTGTATGTCCTCTCCTAAGAATGTCAGCTCCATAAGGGCAGATATTTTTATCTGTTTTGCTCTCTGTTGTCATCTCCAGTGCCTGGAATGAGGCCCGGAACATAGTAGGTATTCAATAAATACTGAATGAACCATGCATGGTTGGTTGGATGACTGTATGTCAGGGTGTTAGTGCCAGTGTAGTGTGCCCGAGTGTATGTGAGGGTAGAGGTGTGAAGGGCAGGCAAGGAAGCCTTGCCTCTCCCCTGCCCCCCCCCCCCCTTGGCTGTGGCTGCTAGGGAGACCCCTGTCTTTACAGCTGGGCAGGATAGGCAGGCAGGGTGTGTGCAGGCCAGATGGGGGGGGGGGTGTGTGTGCAGCTGACAAGAGCTGGGGAGCCACAGCAGGACAAATAGGAGGGAGGGAGGGCTGGCAGGCAACAGCTGGCTCACTCAGCAGATCCCTTATGACGTCGTTTGGAGGGTGGCACAAGACGGCGGGGCAGGTTGGTGGGCAACCCGTGGCCCTCAAGCTTGGACTCAATGAGGTGGCTGGCCAGGGCAAACTCCTCGTCGTCCAGCATGCCATCCCGGTCGACGTCACTCAGCTTCCAGATGCGCCCCAGAACTGAGTTGGGCAGCTTGGTGCCCACCATCCAGGTCTTGGCCTTGGTGCCACTCAGCTTGCCATCAGCGGGGGCCAGGTTGTAGAAAATCTCATCATATTTGGACTTGTCCTTGGTCACCACCCACTCAGCCTCATCATCTGAGCCCTCGCCGTCCTCCATGACCTCGTCGGGTCCCCGCTCCACAAAGGGGCCCATGTGGGTGCCCTCGAAAGCACCACCCTGCACGCCCACCTCTGTGCTCTCCAGCTCCTCCTGCCGCAGCAGGGGCATAAGCTTGGCAATGTCGTGTGTCAGCATCTCATCCAGCGCCTCCAGCAGCTTTGGCTTCAGTGAGTGGAACTTGGTGAAGTCATACGCCATCAGCATGTCCTGTTGGGGAGCAGGTGGGTGGGAGGGGATGGGGGCACCAAAAAGTCAGGGAGCACCATCCAGAGGCCCTCTAGACCTACCTGGATGCTCAAATTGGCAGCCACTTACTGACAGCTCAAAGGCTGCTGAGTATCTCAGCACTATATCCTCCCACTTGAATGACTGTCCCTCAGAAGCCACTTGGGTGACAGGGTCTCAGATGTCCTCCCCCTGTGCCAGTCCTACCCCCAGATTCTTTGGACCACAGGGACCTTTCTAAAGTCTCCCGTACTGGGAGGGACACAGCATTTTCCAAACTAATCCACATTAATTTCTCGAGCAAGGCCTAGAGGCCCACCCATCCTGATCTAAATAGGGCCAGGGACATGATGGTGACAAGGAGGGACCATTCCTGGGCTAGACTGCCCAGGTTTTAGCCCAGCTCTGCCATTTGCGGTCACCCCTCCCACCTGCATCTTCTGGCAGTCAGGGAAGTCCCCAGGAGATATGTGATGTTCCAGTTGGATCTTAGCAAAGATGACAGGCAACTTGAGGATCAGCTGCTTCTTCTTGTTCTCCTTCCCAAACACAGAGGGCATCTCCTTCTTCAGGTAGCTAATGATGTAGGCATGAACCTGCAGGAGGAATGGGAGGAGCCCGTTTACCGTCACCTGGGGAGGCCACTTAAGCACAAGTGGCTGGCCCTATCTATGCCCAGAGCTTCTAATCTCAGGGGGGTGCTGAGGCTTTGCATTTCTAACAGGTACAGGTGAGCTGCTGCTGCTGCTGATAGGAAAACACCACTCTGTGACGTGCCCCCCACTTAACACCCAGGGGCTCAGCCCAGGTTGAGCTCCTCAGCCCCTCCTGAACTTTAAACCACTCTCCAAGTTGTCCACCCCCAGTCCCTGTACCAGCCAGGGCCTCTCCCTGGAACTCAAAGAGCCTGGTCGACATTCCTAGACAGCTTCCTGGTAAGACGCCCTCAATGGAATTTGGGGCCAGCCCCCTGGGCTGGGTCACCCTCAGCTGTGGCCATCTTGGGAAACAGCACCCCCACCTCTCCCTACTCAGCTGGGGCCAGAAATCTGGAAATCATTCTGGCCTTGATTCTCCTCACTCCTCACTGCACTAGCCAGTTCAGCAATCTGTTCCCCTTTGCTTCCTCATGGCTCCCCTACTTCTCCATTTCTCTCCATTTCAGTTGCCCTCCTCCCGAAGCCAGCTGCTCCCATCTTTAACCTGGAGAGACACACCAGTCACTGCACCGGTCTCCTGGTGTCTCCTCTTGCCTCAGTAAAGCAGCAGCCAGAGGGTTTGGGGGGGTTTTGCTTTTAGGACAAAAACCAAACTCCAAGACACTATTCCAGAGTCTCAATTTGATTATTCAAATTCAAAATCCATACCACCAGACCCTACAGCAGCAATTCTCAAAGTGTGATCCAAGGAACCCCAGGGAGTTCCTAAGACCCTTTCAGGGATTTGAATGATCAAAACTATTTTAATAATATTAGGAATGAGCTATTTTTTTTTTTTTTTTACTCTCATTTTCTCCTGAGTAGACTGGCACGATTCTTCAAGGCTGCAAGATCTTAAAGGCTCCAAAATGTGGGGGATATTGCAACTGGGTGATAATGCAGGAACAGAGGTGCGAATCCAGTTGTACCCCGACAACAGACATGAAAGAGTAGTAAAACAGAAAAGTAGGGCCACTGTCCTCTCTAATTTTTTTGCAGGGGAGGCATTTGGAAAATGATTTTCATAAAACAGTTTTCTTAGGTTAACCTTAGGTTTATGGTTATTTTAAATGATCCTGTACTGCTAATTATTTTTTTTTAAGATTTATGAATGCAAGAACTGGGCTGTAGGCCAGAGGTGCAGGGGGTGAGAGGATTTGCCAGACATAGAGCAGGAAGCAGAACAGGCAGATCTACTGAAATACACTGCTGAGGGGAGCTGCGGGTGAGACAGGAGAGGTCTGCTGAGTCATGTGGGTCAGCTCCCTGGCTGGGATCAAACTCATGCCTCAGTGGCTGGCTGAGACTTTAACCCCTGTGCCACCAGGGAGGCCCTGTGCTACTAATTATTACTGATACTTATTCATGAGTGTAAATTAACATTATCAATAACTGACAACCTTTCTAATAAATATGCCTCATTACTCCTTAATGACGATGTAATAATTCATTTGTTCATTAATAGGAGATATAGAAATATGGAATATTTTCTGTTTTATTTTCTAATATCTCCAAATAGGCAAGCCATCTACAGTCAGGTGTAGATCAACAACCAGGACTTGCTCTGAGAAATGTGTCATGCACGCATGGGATAGTCACCAACCCAGACCATACAGCCTTCTATATACTAGGTAGATAGAGTCCCCATAGTTGTTATGTGGTGCACAAGTATACATAAAAACTCTTTTTGGTCCCCAGTAATTTTTAAGAGTGTAAAGAGGTCTTGAGACCCAAAGGTTTGTGGACCCCACTGCTCTCTGTGATTTGGCTCCTGTAGCTACACCCATCTCTGTTTCAGCCCACTCACTGCTACAGCTTCCTCACTATCTTCCTTGTTTTACCAGCATGCCAGCCTTTTCCCACCTCAGGGCCTTTGCACATGCCACTCTCTGCCTGGACTTCTGCCCTGGTCTCCCTTCAGCTGGTTTCCTCAGTTTTTCCCAAAAGCTATTCTATGGGAAGAAGGTGCCCACCACGGAATTTTATTGTTTTGCTCACATTTATCACAATCTGTCATTATTTTTTCTGTTGGTTTACTTATTCTGTCTCCTTCCATCAAAGTGTGAGTTGCAAGAGGCCTGGGATCTTATCTGTTCCCAGTGTTCTCAATGTTAGCACAATATACACAGCACTCAAGAAGTATTTGTGGAATAAGCCTATGCGCTTGGGCCATGATTTCATAAATATATAAAAAAAAAAAACCAGAATTATGCATTCATGTATGTATGCTATTTTTTAAAATAGGAAGCCCAATAATTAAATGTATATGCTTAAATAAAAATAGAATATATGTGGGAAAAAGTCATAAGGGACTACTCATGAGGCTTGCCTCCAGGGAAATGAACTTGAGTTGGAGCCAGGAGTGGGAGGGAGCATGTTTGGCAGAGTTTGAAAGCGTTACCATGACACAGCCTTACATGTTCAACTGAAAACATATCAACCTTCATTTAATGAATCATAGGTTGAGAATCTTAAAAATTTTGGTGGCCCCTGTCTGGTTCTGAATCCTCATTTCCTCCCACTCTATCACCCTCCCTAGGCACCGTATTCATGTGTATTTCTGCCTCAGGGCCTTTACACTTGCTGTTCCCTCTGCCTGGTTTGATCTTCCCCAGATGACCACTCAGCTCACCCCTTCCTCTCCCCTTCCCCAGAGTTTTTTGTTCAAATATTGCCCCCTCCAGGAGATACTCCCTGACATCCCTAAAATAGTCCCTTACCATTCACCCCTTCCTTTGCTTCATTCTGTTTTATGATCTTTTTCACACACAATGTATTATAATTTGTTCAACAATCACTTCCCCGTTGGAAAGTAATTTAAAAAAAAAAAAAAGAAATTTGAGGGCCTCCCTGTTGGCACAGGGGTTAAAGTGTCAGCGCTATCAAGCTGTTGCCAGCCACTGCAGTCTGAGTTCAAGCCCCATCCAAGGAGCTGACCCACATGGCACAACAGACCTCTCCTGTCTCACCTGCTGCTCCCCTCAGCAGTGTATTTCAGTAGATTCGCCTGTTCTGCTCCCCACTCTGTCTCTAGTGACTCCTCTCAACCACTCCCGCCCCCCACCTCTGACCTACACCCCAGTTCTTGTAGGCATAAATTAAAAAAAAAAAATCTTAAAAAAAAAGGAAACAATATGGTTTGTTCCCTTGCGATATCCCCAGGGTCTAGCACAGTAGGCGAACATGTTGTTCATAACTGCCCCACAAATGTCTTTGAGCCACGCCAGGGAAGTTTGGCATGAAGGCTCAGGGCATCTGGGCCTCTTTAGAAGCATAAGCTCCCCAAGAATTTGGCGTCAAGTTATCAACTCTTTCTAACAGCTGTCACTTCCGCCAAAGGGCAGAGCCATACGACTCATCCACACAGACGGGGAAACTGAGGCACAAAGTGGGCAGTTACCAAGAGTCCTTGGTACCATTGGGAGAAAACAGGAGGAGCGGAGGTATAAGGTGTGAGCTGTTATGTGATGACAGTATGTGACCAAAGGTGGCAGAATCGTAGATGGAGGATGAGGGAGTGTCGCACGGCTGGCGGAAGGGTAGCGAGGCTTGGGCATGGGGGGAGCCAAGGATGGAACCTCGAGAAGGGGAAGGCGTGGCCTGGCGGTCTAAGGGACCAATCACATTAGGGGTGTGGCCAGGCTGATAGGTGGGGGCTGGGGGAGCAAGCCAATGGTGTGGGAGGGCGGGGCCCATGGCCCGCTGCTCTGGGACCCTGAAGAGGAGAGGCGGGAGAGCTCTGATGGCTTTTCCAGAGAGGAAGCGGGGGAAGGTGCCAGGAAGAGATAAGGTGGGAGGGTGGGGTGAGCCGGGGCTCGGGTCCCGGACTCTGGGGCTTGTACGGGTTTCCGGAGCCGCCTCCTGCCTGGCGGGGGCACCAGGTGTCCAGGCGTCCCCGCCCTTCGGTCCTGTAGCCTTGGGCTCCAGCTCCCCTTCCACCCCCAGGCCGAGAAGTCTTTGGGGGCACAAGGGCCAACCTGGGGGAGGCTGAGAGAGAGGGAGGGAGACAGAGATCGAGGGAAGATGGGAAAGAGAGAGACTCAATGAATGAATAGGAGAGAGGAAGAATTAGAGAAAGAATAAGAGAAATTACATATATACATACATATACATGTATGTATATATGTAATTTCTCTTTCTTATTCTTATTTCTTATTCTTATACATACATATACATGTATGTATATACATTCAGAGAGAGAAAGACAGCAAAGGAGAGAGACAAACAAAAACAGAAAGATGGTCCAGAGCCCTGGGCAGAGGAGGAGAGAAAGGTTTGGAGCAGCCGCCCCAGTTCAAGCCAGGCGGCTCCCTCCCAAGGAGGATTCCTGGGGTGGGGGTGGGGGCTGTGACTCACCCCCTCTTGGCTGCTCCTTAAACCAACACCTCAGGCTCCTCCACCCCCCATAACCTTGTTGGCCTCCCTGCCTGCCTGGCTTCCTGCCCCACCTCCACCCTGGCAGCCTCCCCTCAGAATGTTCCATTTGGCCTCCAAAATCACTCTTAGACCAGTGTTCTCCTCCCTCTCCCCAAAGCCCAGTCCTCATCCAGGCTTTTCCCTGGTCTCCAGTCCCAGTCTTACCACACTGGTAGCTAGAGTTTGCTGCTGTCCTTCCCCTGCTTTGAACATTTCTGTGGCTCCCCAAGCAAAGTTTAAGTTGCTGGCCACAGCCCCAAGGCCCTGGGTGGCTTGACTCCCACCCACCAGTTGGGCCTCAGATTTAGTTACTCTGACTTTGGGTTCAGCACCCACATCTTCCCTCTTCTAACTGGCCATGTTCGAATCTCCAATCTATGCACTTGCTGGTCTCACTATCTAGACTCCCTCCCCCTCCTTGTTCTCCACATCCTTGCATCTCCGCCTCCTCCAAGAAGCTTTCCTCTATTGCCCCTCAGTTCCCCAGTCCCTGCCCTGACCATGCTGGGATACTGCTGTCTGGAGATGGGTGTGTCTCCTCTTTTGGGTGGCATTGGTCACTGCTGTGTGCTCAGTGCCACCTGACATCAGGCCAGGCACAAAAAGTAGTTGATGAATGTGAGTGTTTGTTCGGTGTCACTTGTTCAATAAATATTTACTGAGCAGGCACTGGGGACATAGCAGCAAACACATTCAGACAAAGATCCCCCATTCTGTGTCATTTAGTGCAATTGGAGGAGACAGGCAGTAAATATAGAAACCTGATGAAGGCACAGATAACACACGACTACACGAAAGCTTGGCTAACTACGCCAGGGTAAAGCAGGACTCCCATGGGGGGAGTATATTCATTAAAAAGAAGGGCAGTGGGCCTCCCTGGTGGTGCAAGGGAGTAAGTTGCAGCACTATGAAGCTATCCGCAACCACTGCAGCAAGAGTTCAATCCCCAGCCAGGGAGCTGACCCATATGGCGCAGCAGACCTCGCCTGTCTCGCCCGCTGCTCCCCTCAGCAGTGTATTTCAGTAGATCTGCCTGTTCTGCTCCCCACTCTGTCTCTGGTGAATCCTCTCACCCCCCCCCATATATCTGGCCTGTACCCCAGCTCTTGTATGAATAAATAAAAAATAAATAAATCTTTAAAAAAAAAAGGGCAGAGAGGCCCTCCTGAGAGCTGACATTGAATGAAGACTTGGAGGAGGAGTGAGCCATGTGACAGCAGGTGGAGGGCAGGAGAGGAGGGACGTTTCTAGCAGGAGCAGGATGTGCAAAGGCCCTGCAGTAGGAGTGGTTAGGCCAATGTGATGAAAGTCAGTGACTAGCAGTAGAGGAAGATGGAGGAAAGGCAAGTGCTGCCCTGGCCTCCCCACCCCTACTGCTGCTTATCCACCCCTCCACCACCACCCCCACTCACCCGCACCAGTCTGGCCCTCTTCACCAGGTCATTGAGCTTGCGCAGGGCGGCATGGCGGGGCAAGCCCTGGATGTCGCGGAAGAGGTCCTGTTCCTCAAGCTCGAAGAGGCGCCGGTTGTCCGGCACAAGGAGTGGCTGGGACCAGAAGGAGCCTATGTAGACACGCAGCACCTCAGGCGTGCCCACCACTTTGCCCAGTGCCCACATGAGCGCCCCATAGACACGCATCAGCTGCTGTGTCTCCACCATGTCAGCCTTGTTGAGCACCACACGGATCTTGTCCTCGTAGCCCCGCAGGGCACCAATAGCCTCTGAGAACTCATCGGAGATCTCCAGCTTGTGCGCATCGAAGAGAAGGATGATTAGATCCACACGTTCAGCAAACCAGCGCAGCACCGCGGGGAAGTCATAGCCTGAGGGCAAGGGGCAGGGGCACAAGGGGCAGAGGTCAGCGCCCTATGCCCCAGCCATTCTGCCACATCCATTACCTTGGATTGGTATTGGATGGTACAGATGTTCAGGTTGTTAACTATCAAAATCCATGTCTGTGCAAAATAATGGAGTTTATCCTATTGCTCCCAGAATTTCCTCCATCACGATGTCCCCAGTCCCTCAAGTCATTTGGCTACAGGGACAATCACCTCCTCCCACCTTCAGTCATTCATTAGGCAGACGTGAGGGGAGTACACTGGCATGGATGGACGGGGTGTTAAAATACTCAAGTGTTTCCTAGCAGACTTACTATGCTTCAGTGGACTTCCCAGTCCCCAAAGTGGCTCTCTCGCCCCCAGTTTTCCCCCGGATCCATCAGATCTCTCCACAGACCAGCAACTACAGCGTTCATATGGCCCTCGCTATGCTGCTGCTATAGCAGATGTTAAATAATTTCAATTTACTTAACAGTATTTACGGAGAGCCTTCTGTATGCCAGGTCCTGTCTTGGGCACTGGGAATACCACAAGGAATACATAGGCAAGGTCCCTGCCTTCAGGGAGCACCCAGCCCAATAGTTGACTCCTGGGCTCATTCATTCATTCATTCATCGCTTTCACCATTCATTTCCTCACTCACTCATTCACTCATGCTGTTCCATCCTTTGCACATTCACCTATTCATTCATGAACAAGCAATGGTTGGCAAAGCAGAGGTGAGGTTAACATCCTGTCAGGAAGACTTGGGTTTGAATCCCAGCTCTGTTCCCATTTGCGGTGTGACCTTCGGCCAGTAGATAACCTCTCTGAACCTGTTTCCTCTTCTGTGAAACAGGTTCACATATGATAGTAGGAAATCACAATAGGACCTACCTCATGGGACTGTTGTGAGATAAGAACATGCGTATTAGTTATCATGTGTGCCAGGTACTGTGAGAGCATCATTCAAGAGCCAGCCCCATAATCACCTGCCCTGTGTTTTTTACCAGGCTTGCAGTCCACTAGGGACCAGACCCATTACCGGAGTGGTCAGGCTGGGCTGTGTGGGAAGAGAGCCCAGTGAGCTGAGGGAGCCCAGAGAGGACACCCGTTCCAGCCTGGGGGTTGGTCAGGGAGGGCTTCCTGGAGGAGGCACTGCAGAGGGGCAACCTGGAGGATGACTTAATGGACAGAGCAGGGGCAACCTGGAGGATGACTTAATGGACAGAGCAGGGAATTGTGGCTGATTCATCTGAGGTCACTTCCTGCTCTCCCTGATAGAGTCTTCAAAACAAGCCCAGGAAGAATTTTTATGATTCCCATTTCCCAAATGAGGAAACTGAGGCACAGAGAGGTAAAGGAGTTACTCAAGACTCACAAGTAGGAGGTGATAGAGCTGGAGCCCCATGGGCATCCACACTCAGCTGGAGAGTGGGGCCTGGGCCAAGAAGGAAGCAGGCTCCTTGCAGCCTCTGGGGACTGGATGGAACGGGGTGGGGGACATTGTTTGGGGGGAGGAAAGACCAGGTCACCGCAGGGTCAGCAGCTGGGTTCCCACCTCCCCCTCCCATGTCTACACAAACACACACACTGCCCGGATTTGGAAAGTGTGTCTCATGGGGCAGAGAGGGAAGGGGGAGGGAGGTTGAGTCAGTGTGGGAATGGGAGACGTGGCAGAGAGGAGCCAGGGACTTCCAGCACGACTCACACAGGACTAATTTCAACCTCAGGGCAACTCTGGGGTTGAGAGATCATTATTTCCACTGCATAGATGAAGAAATTGAGGCATGGACAGGCTCAGTAGCTTGCCCGAGGCCCCACCACGCTATAATCACACAGTCACCCTCGTTCATAGAGCTTACACACCACGGCAGCCACGCAGCCCACCAATGCACTCATACTCATGCACGCACACCCGCAAGGTCCATCACAACCACACACTACAAGATTCAGGCACCCAGACACAACCTTGCACACCATCTGGGAGCTGCACTGCTATTCATGGCCACACAACTGCAAAGACACAGTGAGACCCACACAGAGGAACAGATCACAGAGGCCCCTGGCACACTGCCACCCACAGAGACAAGATCACACACAGTAGTACATACGCAAGCACACGGTGGCGTAGGAGCTACACACATGCACTCACGCACCATCCAGCTGGTCCTCCACAGCTGCATCGTACACTATGAAGACACTGCACCCTCCCACTATCCTGGGGCATTGCCCCAGGAACTCCCTCCAGACAGGTCGGCTCCCCCTCAGGCAGGCAAGACATTTCACACTACAACTGCATAGAAACGTAATCACATACACCATCCCACGGCCTCACACCATCCTTCAGAGCCTTACAAAGTCACATCCAGCCGACGTCACTAGATCAGACACTCTCTCTCTCTCTTCTTCTGCTTCCTCAACCCCACTGCCAGGGAAGAAGACCCTCCCTTCTCTACTCTCACCTCCTCCCCACAGTCTTTGGGCCCCCAGCCGGCATCCATACTCTGACTTGAAGATGCTGCGCCTCCCACCATCCTGGGGCAAGATAGTGGGACAGGTTGTCTCCCCCTCAGGCAGGGAAGACTCCCCTCTCCTGAAGCTGCAGCCTTTTTCCCAGGGTGAAAATGGGCTGCACATGCACCGCCAGGCCAACGTCGGGGACATGGCAACCCTCCAGCCCTTGCCTGTGTTCTGCCCGGGGCCCAGTCTTCAGTCCCCTCTGCCCCACACTGCAGCCTCCTTTGCCCCAATTCCCTGGCCTCCCAGGCTAGTTGGGGCGGGACTGAAGTGTGGGGTAGGGGTGGGGACTGGGCTCCCTTGGAGGCCCCGCTGGAATTCACCCCCCCCCCCCCCCCCCCCCCGCTGCTCCCCCTGCACAGCTGTTTATAAATTCCAGGCTGGCCTTGGCCCCCACCCAGATTCTCCCTCCCAGCCCCTTCCCTGCCCCATCTGTGGCCCAGACCAGGAGTCAGGAGCTTACTGGGGCCCAGGGGCTCCCTGCCTGCTGGGCCTCCCCCTGGGTCTCCCTTATCTCTCTATTGCTGCCTCGCCTTCCAGATCTCTTTGTGCCTCTCTCTGACTCTGTATATCTGTTTTCTTGCTTGCTTGATCCTTCTATCCTTCCACCCGCCCAGACATGCAGCTGCTACAGCCTGTGAACACGTGTTCACCCATTGGCCTCCCCCACCCTCAACGACGTGTGCCAACATGGAGAAATCACAGCCTTCCACCAGCTCACTTCTGCTACCCAGCCAGCTCAGGCCCTGTGACGCAGGCTCAAGTCCTAGCAGAGACTCTGGGGGCCTCCTCCCCCAGCCCCTCCCCCTTCAGACCCAGGAGTCCAGATGACCCTCAGCCCCCTCACTCAGACCAGAATCCTGGCCTTACTCACCACGGCTCACTCTCTGTTTAGCGCCTGACAGGATGCCTGGGGTGTCGATGATGCTAATGCTCTCCAGGACCTGATTGGGGAGGTGAGCGCACATGAACCTGGATAGAGGGAAGGGCAGGGGTCAGGGTAGGGCAGGAGAAGAGGACATGTAAGAAGAGATATCAGGCCTTAGAGGGTACCACAAGGGAAACTTTAAAGAGAAGAGGAAGAGCAGGAGCAAGAATAAAAAGCATGAAAACGTAAGAGCTGATGCCTACGGAGCCCTCCCTGTGTGCCAGGTGCTGCCCCAGGCTTCTCTGTAATGATTCATTTAGTCCTCGTGACAACTTTATAGGGTGGGGACAATGGTCATCCCCATTTTCCAGATGCAGATCAGAGAGGTTAGGTCATATGCCCAAAGCCACCCAGCTAGATAGCTGTTAAACCCAGATAAACTGGCTCCATGGGCTGAGGGGGTGAATCAGGGAGAGGAAAGAGAATTGGGGCTGAAAAGAAGAGAAACATAGATAGACTTGGGGGTCAAGATGGGGCCAGGGAGGGGAAGATACACCCCAGCTCTGTCGGCTGCACACCTGTTGAGAAAGGTGTTCCCGAAGGGATTGAGTTTGCGGAAGGGCTTTTCAGGGTCCACCACAAGGGCGTTGCCAGGCACAGTGCCCTCAGTGTCACCATGCATCACGGCCACGAAGCAGTCGGTGGTGGGCTCAGGCCCCACACGGGAGCCAGGCACCTCTTGTTCCAGTAGGTACTGGATGAAGCTGGTCTTGCCGGTGCTGTACTGGCCAGCCACCAGCACCATGGGCTTGCCGTCGAAGTCGGCATCCTCCAGGGCTGGTGAATGGAAAGCCCCAAAGCGATAATGCTCCTCCAGGGGCAGTAGCTTGGAGCGGTACAGCTCCTTGAGGGAGGAGGTCACCGTGCGGATGGCCTCGGGGTGCTGGCCCCGAATCCCGCTCTTCTTCAGCCAGCTGAACATTGTGGGCTCACACGCTGCTGCCCGCTGGGCTTGCCAAGGAAGATGTGCAGGGGAAGAGAAACCTGCCTGTAGGAAGAGAGGGTGTTGATGAAGGACTGCCTATAGGAGGAGGAGAAGGAAGGAGGTGAAATAGTCTAGGAGTCCAGACCCCAGCCCCTCCTCCCTAAGGCCCAGGAGTCCAGACCCCCAGGCCCTCCTCCCTCAGACCCAGGGATGGCAGCAGGGGTGGAGGAAGGAGAGCAGAGAGATGTGGTTGCTGGCAGGAGTTGACGTTTCAAAGAGGAAGAAAGTGATTCATTTTCCAGTGGGAGGAAGAGAAAGAGACTAAGGGTGGAATGAATGAAGATAAGGGATTGATGGTAGAAGACCAAGGGATAGGCAAAGAGCAGGATGCAGAAGCTGCCTGGAAGAGTATCTCCCATCATCCTTCTCCATGTCCATCATTTCACAAAAATCACTCCCTGTGGCAGAAGCAATGGACCCAGAAATAGGCCAGACACCGGCCCCCACCTACTCAGAGCCCCCAATGAGGAGAGGACCCAGGTTCTAAATAGTCAATGATCTGGCAAATACTAGGAGGCAAATGCTAGGAGGTCAAGTTGTGGGCATGGGAGGGGGCCGTGATGAACTCATCCCAGGATCAGCAAAGCACAGGGATTAGCTGACCTTTGAGCTGCTCCCCACAGAGAGGGCAATACAAGGGTGCTCAGGCAGAAAAGCTGGTGGGTGCCAAGACCTGAAGCTACAAAACAGCTGTGCCACACATAGTGGTGGGAGGGGTTGCCAGCAAGCGCACAGGTCGTGAGGGACCTGTGAATGATAAGTCAACCCAATCTCATTATCAGTCTTGTAAGCTTAGGCTGTTAACATCCTCACTTTGCAGACAAGGGCATGGAGGCTCAGGTGGTTGGCATAACTGGCATGAAATCAATAGATAGAAGCTCTCAAGCTGGGGCTCTTTAGAGCCTGGGTCCTATCACAAGTGGAAGAGTTAGGGGAGAAACAAGTGCCCACCCAGTAGCACTGAGACCCCAGGGCCAGCCTGTTGTCTCTGTTCCCTCATCAGCCTCAATGGTTCCCTGTAGGACCTGTACTGATGCCCCCTTTTTCATTCCTGCTGTCAGTTATTTGGTCTTCGCTCTCTCACCCACCCTCAATTTGATCAGTGTTAAGCAGATGTTCTGGCTTTGCCACTCTTCCGAAAGAGCCAGCTTTTGGTCAGACTAGAGCCTTGAAAAACCATTCTCCACTCAAAGAATCCAGGGCTTCTTGGAGAAATGGCTGATTCCAGGCCTGGGGCAGGGAAAGAACAAGTGAGCCTGAATCAGCTGGTGGGCAAGGGGGCAGAGATCAGGGGGGCAAGTCACAGGGACACCAGGCCCCGTGTGCAGAGGCTTCCTACTGGCCAAGGATGGGGCAATTCAAAATTCATGTAATCATGTAATTCAAAACAGGGGAAAGATATGGGGGAGAAGCAGACACAAATGAAGAGCCAGAGAGGTAAAAGAGAGAGAGGAGCAGTGGTGTCCTAGGCAGGGAAGATTCTGGGGGACCTCTCTGGAAGGACACCTGGATGGCTGGACAAGCTATGGGGTTGGTGAGGTGGGAAAGGAGCTCTTCAGTGGCTGGAGGGCCCCAGAGGGGTAGAGATGGATGAGGGGATGGGAGGCACCCCCTGCAGAGATGGTCTACCCTGGCTGAGGGGATGGGATAGTAGGAGAGACTGAGGGAAAGGTGCGGGAACAGGACTGGGACATAGGAAAGACGGAAGGGACAGGAGAGGAGAATGGTGAACACTGTTACAGACTGGATGGGGCTGGGGCAGTTTTGAGGCACTGGGGACCCTGGGAGACTGTTATGCCCTGAGGGATTTGGGACTGAGGGTCCCCGCGGATGGGAGTTGGGATGTGGCAACTGCGATGGGGGCCACTCACCGCTGGAGCGCGCAGGCGACTGGACCAGGCGGGCGGGCGGGGGTCCCGCGGGGATCCGAGACCACCGCGGAGCGGCCTGTGCTCGCGGTCCCGTCCGGAGCAGTCTGAGCTGGGTGGGGCCGGGAGCCGGGAGGAGGGTAGAGAGAGGTGGGAGGAACGGGGAGGGGGGCGGGACGAAGCACCCCCTCCCTCCCCAAACCTGGTGCACAGCCTCTGTCGCCCCCTGGTGGCAGTGAGTCTTGGCGCGGCGGGAGAGCGCGCAGACTTCCAGTAGCGAGTTCAAATTCCATCTCCACCTTGAGCGTTGGGTTGTTTCCCCATCTATGTCTCCCTTCTTAACGGGACTAATAGCAACAAGAACAACATTATTGTTATTATTATTATTACTAAAAACTTAAGCGAATTCAAGGCATCTGCTCAAACACGGCTCATAAGGCCCTACACATGCCCTGCCCTCAGCTACCTCTCCCCCTCTTGGCTCCAGTCACACTGGCCTCCTCACTATTCCTCAAACACCCCAACAACCTTCCAACCCCAGGGCCTTTGCACTCATTCCCTCCACATGGGTTGCTTTCATTCTCCTTCCTCCTTTCCTTCAGGACCCTGCTCAAATGTCACCTCCTCAAAGAAGTCCTCCTTGATTTCCCTACCAAATGCAGTACCCACCATTATCACTACTTTCTTTTTCTTTTTCTTTTTTAAAGATTTATTTTATTTTATTTTATTTATTTATACAAGCACTGGGTACAGTCAGAAGCGCGGGAGGGTGAGAGAATTCACCAGAGCCAGAGTGGGGAGCAGAGCAGGCAGGAGGACCGAAGCACACTGCTGAGGGGAGCAGCGGGCGGCAGGAGAGGTCTGCGCGCCATGTGGGATCCTCCTCTGGTGGCCGGGGAGCAGCCAGGGATCGAATCAGCGCTGCAGAGGCTGCGGGCAGCTTCGCAACCCAGCGCTCAACCACTGAGCCACCGGGGACACTACTTTATTTTTCTTCCCACTTTTTATCCCCTGCTTCACAGACTGTCTGACTCACAAAGCAGGAGCCCCGCCATGGCGGGGGTGGAGGGGGTTGTCTGACAGGGTGGTGGGTTCCCTGCTGTGTCCCCTGCCCAGCACAGAGCCTGACACATTGAAGATGCTAGGCCAAATCATCTCTAATGTCCCCAGGCACTTCCTTTGTGCAGGCTCGTAACATGTATCAGTTCTGCTGAATTCTCAGACTATCCCTGAGACCAGGTTTTGTTATTCCTATTTTACAGTTAAGACAACTGCGTCCCGAAGAACTCAATTCCGAAAACCCAGAGGCTCGGGGCTCAGTGCTGTACTTCGACCAGAGCAGGTACTCTTCAATGTCACCTCTTATAACTCAGGTCTAGAGTTGCGTTTCTCAGCAGATCCCTGTACTTCTGGGGTTCATAGCACACAAGACCTTGAGTCCAATGCCAATCCTGTTCCTTGCTTGCTAGAGAACCCCAAGGAAGTGACTAGGCCTCTCCAAGCCTGTTTCTCCTCCTGTAAAATGGGATTTTGTGCTTGTTTCTCAGGACTTGGATCTTTGCTCAAATGGCACCTCCTCATAGAGGCTAACCCTAACTCCCCCACCCCTCCAGTCCTGTCCCCAGTCCTAAGCTCATGCTCCTCCTTAGCACTTATCGTCATTGGCCAGAATTTAGATGTTACTTATTTTTAACCTCCTCCTTCTGAAGCATGTCAGCTCCCCAAAGGCAGGGCTTGGGTCTGTTTTGTTCACTATTGCAGCTTCACTGCCTAGAACAGTGCCTGGCACACAGCAGGAGGTCGGGAAATATTTCATTGCTTGGATGCATTAACGCCCATAATTTGATTGCTGAACGTGTTCTAAAATTGATCATGGTGACAGTCACACTCTTCTGCGAATAGACCAAGAGCAGTTGAATGGTACATTTAAAATGGGCAGGTGGCTCAAGGAATCGCTTAGTGCAACTAATCTATAAGACAGATGCTGCTTAATGATGGGAGCAAGGTGTCACTAGGTGATTTCATCATTGTGAGAATGTCATAGAGTGTGATGACACATACCTACATGGGACAGCCCCCTACACAGCTGGGCTGGATGGAGCCATCTCCAGGGACCACCGTGCTCCTCTGAGGACCAAAACATCATTATGTGTACATGGCTATATATATATAAAACACACAATTAATATATTAACACATTTGATCAATGTATACATTATAAATTAATATAATATATAATGGTGTATTATATATAATACAGTATTATGTAATATATAAAATGGCATATACAATATACATAATTATAATATGTATATAATATAACCAAGTATAATATACACTGCATTACATAATGGTATATATAATAGCATATGTGCATGTGTATAAATATATCTTAAATATATGTATATTAATAAGAGGCCTGGAATTTGTGACGAGGAACAGCACGGGGCCTATTCTGAGAGTTTGACAAGGATCCTTTCTCCCTTTCCCCTAAGAAATGAGATCCTCTTATGAGCGCTGCTATTTTGAATCCTACTTTCCAGATGGAAATCGAGAGGAAATGGAGGCACAGGGAAGTCAAGTCTTGCAGCCCACTGCGTGGAAGATCGAGGCATGAGCCGGGTTGCCTGATGACGGTGACCCAGGGCTTTCCAGCCTGCCATTTCTGGGCCCATGAACTTGGATGGGGCAAAAATATGCCTTCCAGGTGACTCAGGTGTGGGACACCTGACCCTAGAGACTCTCACTCAGCTGCTTATAAGATCTAGGAGTGGGTGGCTGAGAAGTTTGGTGGAAAGGCTAACATTTTAGGAGCCAAGGTCCACTTTGGTCTTCCCTCAGGGGTGAGGCAAGAACAAGGGGGCTGTCTCTGGCTCCTGTTGCCACTTGCTGTTGCCCCCACCCTAATCCTCCCTGGAAACTGGGCATGCAGAGGTGAAGACCTTAGGCTCTGTATTCAGACCGCCCAGTTCACTTGCCACTTACTGCATCCCTCAGGATCTCGGTTTTCTCACCTGAAAATGGGGTGATCTCAGGCCTCCCCGGTGGCGCAGTGGTTGAGCGCTGGGTTGCGAAGCTGCCCGCAGCCTCTGCAGCGCTGGTTTGTTCCCCGGCTGCTCCCCGGCCACCAGAGGAGGGTCCCACATGGCGCGCAGACCTCTCCTGCCGCCTGCTGCTCCCCTCAGCAGTGTACTTCGGTCCCTCTGCCTGCTCTGCTCCCCGCTCTGGCTCTGGTGAATTCTCTCACCCTCCTGCGCTTCTGACTGTACCCAGTGCATGTATAAATAAATAAATAAATAAATAAATAAATAAATAAATAAATAAATAAATAAATAAATAAATCTTAAAAAAAAAGGGGGTGATCTCACATGGGGTCTGCCATGAGGACAAAATGAAACACTCCAGCCAAGAGTTTGGAAAGATGCCCAGGAAAAGTGTTCCATAACGTTAGTCAGTGCTGTTCACTCTGTTCAGCTAGTATGCGGTCAGCATTCGAGAACCCAGGTCCCGAGAGCCCGTGGTAAACAGCGGCAAATATTTTTGCGAGGCTATGTGGAGTTTGAGGGAGCGTGCGGGGACCCAAGAATGTTAAGAACTGCTTTTTTCTTTTAAGGCTTTATTTATTGCACGTGGGGGTAGTAGATCTAGACCTAGGATGGAGGGCGGTCCATCTCTCGGAGACCTCACAGATCAGTTCCCCACCATATGCCCACGCCAAACCCTTAGGGACCTGAAGCAAAACTGGGGCATCACCTAGTCCAGTCGAGGTCACCGGCCCTCTGGTCTTCCAGCTTCCGCCCTCGCTGTCTGTTCCACGCGCGGCCACCAGAGGGCGCCTTGGCGACCTAAGTCGGTTTACAGCTTGCTTGCCCTTTTTTTTTTTTAATGTGAAAAATTATTTGCTCAGAGCTTTCTGCTCAGAAACTTCTCGGGTCCTGCCTCTCAGAGTTAGGCCCAAATCCTCACAAGGTTCAACACCATAGGCCTCCTTTGTTCCCTTTGACCTATGCTCTATTTGCCTTTACCTCCTTCAAATAGGATGCAGCCACACCCGCTGCCTTGCTGTTCCTCAGCACCCAGGCATGCTCTTGCCTCCGGGCCTTTGCACTGGCTGTTTATTTCTGAATGTTTTTCCTCCAGGTCTCCCTCCTTCATCTTACGCACGTGGGCTCAAATATCACCTCCTCAGCTGAGGTCTTCCCTTTCGACCAGACCCTGAAGCCCTTCAAGTGCAGTTGAGGAGGGTGTTCACTGCACAAAGCATTCATTGAATGGATTAAGAGGGAACTAGAATCCAGCTAACACTGTGCTCCCAGCTCCAGAGGGAAAGGGTGCTTTTTTTTTTTTTTTTCTTCACACAAAGACATCCTTTATCCTGTGCTGTGAATTGAGTTCCCCTAAAAGGCTGATGTCCCAACTCCTAGTATCTGTGAATGCCATCTTATTTGGAAGTAGGGTCTTAAACAAGTTAATCTAATATGGCTGGTGTCCTTCTAAGAGGGGCGACACTGACACAGATGGAAAATGATTATTTGAAGACAGAGAATAGAGCAATGGAGCCACAAGCCAAGAACACTGGGCATTACCAGAGATGGAAAGAGGCATGGAATGATCCTCTCCTAGAGTCACTAGAGGTAGCATAGCCCTGCCCACACCTTGATACGGGACTTCCAGCCTCCATACCTGTGAAAGAATGTCAGATCTTCTAAGTCACCCAATCTGTGGCTCTTTGTTACAACTGCCACAGGATTTAATACACCCTGCTTGATTTTTCCTCATGTCATCATCTGACACTGTCCTCATTAACCACTGGTCCAACTTATGAATGGATGCCAGATTTGTGAATCTACTTGTTAAAACTGACTTGTAACCTCCCAACTCACAGTGCTTTCTGGGGACATGCGCAGAGTGGCAAGACATTTGAGTTGCCCACACATGGCACGGTCCCATCGGAGGCCCAAAGAGGCAAGGGCCTACCCACTCGTTTCAGCTCTCCAGTTATAAGCCAGCCTCCTTTTTGAGGACTATTTATTGCTTTTACTATGTGTGTGTACTTTCTTCTTTGGTGATTTTACTATTTTAAAGATTTATTTATTTATGCATACAAGAACTGGGGTGTAGGCCAGAGGTGCTGGGGGTGAGAGGATTCACCAGCGAGAGTGGGGAGCAGAACAGGCAGATTGACTGAAATACACTGCTGAGGGGAGCAGCTGGCGAAGCAGGAGAGGTCTGCTGCGCCATGTTGGTTAGCTCCCTGGCCAGCCGGGGAGAGAACTTGTGCTGCAGTGGCTGGCAGTAGCTTGATAGTGCTGTCTTTAAACCCTCTGCCACCAGGGAGGCCCAGATTTTATTATGTTCAGTGTCCCCAAGGCACTGAAGTACAGGCTCATGTCCCTTAGTGCTGGAGGGCAGAAGGGCGCCATGTGAAAAAAATAGTCGTGCCTCGCTTAATGACATTTCAGTCAACGTGGATTCAGCATATAAGACAGCAGTCCCAGTAGGCTGTCCCACCTAGCCTAGGGGTGCAGCAGGCTGTGATTACCCTCCATGACATTTGCACAACCATAGTATCACTGAACAATACTGCGTTAAACAGTGCATGACTCTATGTTGGAATAGCTGCCTGCAGGGCCCAGATATCGTCCTGTTGGCCATTAGCTCCATGTGAATGAATGACAATCTATATAAATAAGGGGTCTTTAAACAGAAGCATGCACTAACCAAGGTAATTGATCAAGTAGCAAAAACGTGAGTAAGGTGTGGAGGAAACTGACACCCTGTATTTCCCCAGGAATAGGGGGCAGGTCATCAACTTCACCCTGTGTTTGGTTTAGTTGTTTACAATCTGCCTTGTTGTTCTCCCATCTCACCCCACCTCACCCCATCCTTGCAGAAACCTGTTTTCCTAGTTCAGGAGGCACCCAGTAGGTGCTCAACAAATATATGTGGAATAAGCCCTCACAATCCCTCCACAGGTCTCACCCCAGTCCCATCTCCAAACAACCCCCAAAAGACCCAAAAGCAAGGGGGCGGAGGGGGCATAGGTACAGTTTTAAAAAAAGGATCACTTTTTAATTTACAAGAGTTCTAAATGTACAGATTTCTCCTTTAAAAAAATCGTTATACACAATAAATACAGTACAAAAAAATTTATCTTACAGTACTAGTTTTGTCTCCGAGATTTCAAAATCTGGCCTGGGCCGGTTGGAGGCAGAAAGAACAGAAAAGAAGAACCGCATGGGGAGGGGGTGGAAGACCCCTTTTCCTGTTTTGCAGATGCTGGGATTTCAGTGGCGGGACAGGAGGGTTCGAAATCTCTTGCTCACTGGAGCACACACACAGGGACATGGGACATGGAGCTGGACGCATACGGGATGTGACAGTGCACATGGCACGGTGATCATGGGGAGGGTCCTGGGACGCTGGTCCACCAGCTCCATCCTTGTGTTCCTTTTTATAGCCTATGGGGGGCTACGGGGAGGCCCCTAGAGCAGCTCCCCAGGACCCCCGAGGGCTTCCAGGTCCCTCAATACCTAGTCGGGCTAAGCCACATAGACAAGACCGGTGTCCCGACACGCATGAGTAGTGGGATCAACCAGGGTACTCCCATTCCTGGCAAACACAGGTGTGTCCCTACCCCCTCACGCAAGGGCGGGGTGTGGTAGGAAGTGGGAAGTAGGAAATGACACCAGGGTTACCCCCTCCTTTGACAGGGATGACATTTTACATTACAGCTCCCTCCCCTAAATCCACGACCCTCTCTCAACAACCTGGCTGAAGCAGGAGGTGGTGGAGGAGGCCTTTGTGACTCAAATAACTTAGGCAAGAAAAACTGTCAGGGGATCCCCGGCTCATGTTCCCCAGGAGGCTGAGGTCAGAGGCCCAGCTGCCCTGCCCCCCATGCTCCCCAGCGTCCAGGCTGAGCGAGGGGACAGGGCAGGGAAGACCAGGCCGGTGTTATCTGTTTAACGTCCTGGCGCTGAGGCCGCCATTGTGACTGGAGGGTGGATAAGCCTCTGGCCTGTGCAGAGGCGACGGGGAGGCGGGTGTGACAGCTGTGGGGGCAGCGTGGGGGTACGGGGGTGCAGATGTCCGGCCTGGGGCCTGCTGGAGGTTCAGGATGCTGTCGATGGCGCTCTGGAGGTGTTCCGTGAGGGTGTCATCCTGTGGGCTGTCGCTGGAGAAGCTGGCCTGGTCCACATCAGGTGACTCGGACTTGCGCCGCTTGGCTGGGGGCAGCGGGGGAGCCTCCCATCCTGGATCCCTGCTGCCGCTGCCCTGCCCGGCACTGGCCGCAGGGTCCGGTGCCCCCTTCAGCATGCGCTGGTATAGCTCATCCTCCACCGCAGCCAGCTCGCGGATGAGCCCGCTGGTGGCTTCGTCCACTTTGGTGGGCAGGGGTGCTGGGCTGCTGCTCCGGGCCCTGCCACTAGCCGCCCCCTCGGCCGCTCCGCTGCCCAGAGCCTCCACGTTCTCACGGTATGTCTTCCGGAGGGGCAAGCGGGGACAGTGGGGAGCCGGGGCCTGCGGTTTGCGCTCAGTGGGGGCCGGCGGCGGGTGGTCCACAGTGCCATTCATCTGGCCGGTGGCTGGGGGTGGCGGTGGGGGCCGGGGCGGGGGCTCAGCCGCCTTGAGGGAGGTGGGGGGTGGGGGCGGGGGCTGGTGCACAGGGTCCAGAGCGGTGTTGTGGACGACCTTGCTGAGCCCGGCTTCCTGCTTGATCTTGAGCTTGAGGCCAATGCGGCTGCGGGCCTCATAGGTCTTGATGGGCGGCCGGTTGCGGGAGGGCATTGGGCCGTCCTCATCGGCATCCAAAGAGGAGGCAGCAGAGGACGAGGAGGATGACGACAGGGAGGAGGAAGCTCGTGCCCAGGTCACAGAAGGGGACCCACCCGCCCCACCGTGCCGGATCACCAGCTTGGTGGGCAGGTGCAGAGGGGGCTGGGCTGGAGCCCCGGGTGTTGAGGAAGGTGGTGGGCCATGGCTGGGGAGCCGGTGTCCCTCGGAAGAGGTGGTGACAGGGAGGCCAAGAGAGCGTGAGGAAGACACATACTCATCTGCAGAACCAGGGGGGCAAGAAAAACCCAGGGGGTTAGGGAAAGTGTGAGGCATACACCCAGAGCAGAACTATGAGGAGGCCAAGCACTGAGCATCCATTCCCACCCGGGCTAAGTCCTTCACTTATTAAATACTCAGCATACACTGCCAGGTCTCGGTGTTCCCAAGTCCCCCCAAGGCGCACCTAAGAGCGAATGCTACCTTAAATTCTGCAACCCAGGTGGCTCGCTAGCCCCACCCTAGTCCTAGCTCTGCTCTCTGGCTTTTCTCTCCCGCTAGGAGTGGCAGAATGTGCCCCCTCCAACGAGGCCAGCGGAGACCCTGCCGCTGCAGGAAGGTGGGGGCTTGGGCGCCCCCTCGTGGCTAAGTCAAGTTAAGACCAAGCATGCTGCTCTGAGGTCCCCAAGTCTAATTCTGTGGCATCAGAAGGGATGGGGGTTACCTCTTCCACCCACCTCTCCAGTTCCCTCACCTGGCTTCTCCTTGGCCAGCTGTTTGTCCAAGGCAAGGGTGGTCTTCTCCTCCTGAATGAACATTCGGTCAATCATGACCATCTCTGCTGAGGGGCTCACCCTCTGAGGGAGGGGAAGAAATGACAGGCAATGAAGAAATAAGGAGGGGTCAGTTGTGATCCTTCTTGTGATGGGACCACCAGCCTCCCACCCTTATGAGGCATCCAAGCACAAGAGGCCCCAAAGCTCGGGGTGAGAGGGGAGGGGAAACAGGTGCCCTACCCGCGACTCCTCCAGGAGCAAGAGGCGGTATTTATTGAGCATGGCCTGAGTGCGTTTCAGCAGCTGCGTGGAGACCGTCTCAAACTCCTCATCCACTGTGGAGGAAGAGAGGAGATCCAGCGGTCTAGATGGCAGCAACAGGCAGAGCCTCTGACCAGCCTGGAGACCTTGCAGGCACACACTTGCACTCATCTCCCAGGGATGGGTGGGAAGGTGGGGCGTGTCAGGGAGTCCTCACCTTTGTGGTAGTCGTTGGGGGAGGGGAGGACACCCTGGTAGACATGGTAGGGTAGGAGGCGATGCAGGGCGTCCTCGAAGGAGGGGAAGGCGGTCTTGTAGTCAGGGTGCAGGACGGAGCCCTGATGTTTGTGCAAATGCTCCAGGAAACTGGGGGCAAAGCAGGGAGGGGGAGAGACCACACACACATCGCTGGTGGGGAGGCCAGGAGAAACCAAATCCCAGATCCTGGGCCCCAGGCCCCAAGGAAAATAACAGGGGAAAGCAAGCCAGCGCCTGGGAAGCAGGTATCAACTCATTCTGTCTCACTGACTGGTGACAACTAGAGGAAGCAGGTGCTATTATAATACCTCCATAGGACAGAAGAGGAAACTGAGGCTGGGAGAGGTGAAGGCCCTGGACTGAAGGCGCAAAAAATGAGGAGTCCACATCAGAGCTGGAAGTGCATCCTCTACTGCTATGCTGTCTCCAGCCGCTGGGGGCCAGCACGTCCCCGTGCTGCCTGGAGCCCAACAGCTTGTCAGGGAGCTTGGCTGGTTGCTAAGAGCATGTTCTGCCCTCTCTGGACTGTTCGCTACCATCTCACTGTATCACACTGGGTTATAGCTACTGTGTGGCCGCTTTTCCCACCAGACACACTCATCTCCACCCCAGCAGACCCGCACTGGAGGTTGAAGTAAGGCAGAAGAGGGTGTCCATCCAGTCAAACTCCCATCCAGTCATCCATGTGTCCACCCAAGCCCCTTACAGCTGTTTATAGACTCCCAGTCATCCTTCCTCCACAGGCTCATCCCTCCACACAAATACACACCACAGGGCACTAAGCACTGACTGCCCAGCCTGTGCGAGATGCTGAGACAGTCCTAAGACCCACACTAGATCCTCCCTGGTGAGACCGGCAGCCTCTCTGGGTACTTCATCGGTGCCCTGACAGAATCCTCACTGACAGTCCTCTCACCACTACCATGACCCCCACATTCAGGGTGGAGCTGGAATTGTGCCTAACTCCCTTAGGAAGGGTGGGACTGGCTCAGGAACAGGCTACAACTCACCAGGCTTCCTTGCTGGGCTGCAGGGCCGGTGGCTTCTTCAGACTGCTCAGCCGGTTCTCGTACTGGGGAGAGAGGCCAGTGAGAGGGAGACTTCCCTGCATGGGCCCTGACCCCTTCTCGCCCAACGTGGGGCAAAGGCAGGACAGGGCCACTGTCTTAGCCCTCACCCGGGTGGGATCGTGGCCAGCGATATGGTAAGGAAGGGGTGACAAGCTGGCCCCTTCTCTAGAGGTCTCAGTCTGAGACCCCAGACACCCTGGGGTTTCCCTCCCTCCTCTCTGAAACTCAGCTTTGCTCCATGTATCTCTCTACCCTGCCTGTCAGTTGCGTCAGAGTCCCTGTCCCTGATGTGCTTGTCTCTCCATTTCCCCCCACTTCTGATAATTTTTTTCCCCGACTTTCAAAGCTTAATTTTATTTTAAAAAGCAAATGGAAAGCAATATTTAAGCTGAATCTTAAACAAGGAATATTTTCATAAGTTGATTACTTGTTTTTTTCTTTTTCTATATGTTACAAGTTTATTTTATTTTTTTTTTAATTTTTATATTCCCCATACAATTGCACCCCCCTTATTTTGACCCCAACTACTTCTGATAATTCCTTTCTGACTGTCTCTGTCTCAATTTCACGACTGCTCCAGTCCAAGCAGGCACATGCCTGGACTCCTCCTGAGCCTCCCCACCTCTGTGGTCTCTGTGTAACTCTCGGTGTCTCCCTGCTCCCTGGCCTGTTTGGGGTCTCCCACATCAGTCTGTCATCCAGCCAACTCAACCTGCCTACCCTGAGCTGACATCACAGTCTCGCCCTGTCCTCTCCCACGATCTCAACTCTCACTTGCTCTGGCCCCAAGTCTCTCGTCTCTGTCGGGATACCTCCCTATTGCCACCCTCTCATCTTGGTGCCCATGGTCTCTGTTCAGCTGTCTGGGTGTCTTGAAACACCTTCCCATCCTCCAGCCAGACTGCCCTATTACCTTGACCACAGCTTGGATGTCCTTCTGACCCTTGGTGTCAGCCTCACCTGCCCCCAGGCTGCCTCTGGCCCGGTTCCCTGTGGTTGGCTACTGCCCTGGCCCTCCACTCTGGCAGCCTCTTACCTGCAGCCCGGAGGACTTCCCAGATGAAGTGGCCTTGGCCACACTCAGGGTCGGGAGGTTGCTGGCAAAACCTTTGCTCTCGGCAGGAAGCAGAGGAGGGAGGCCTGGGGGGTGGGGGTGGGGCAGATGGGCTCAGGGGTCACTGGCACCAAGTGACCCTCTCATGATCCCCCAGACTGCATCCCACTCTCTCCAGTCTCAGTGAGCACCCAGTCTTGGGGTGTGTGACCCCAGCTGTGGGGAGTCTGCTCTTCCTCCTCCACCTTCCCTGTCCCACAAGGTCTGGGTGACCCCGTGGGTTGGCTGGCCCAGCCCATGCCCATCACCCAGTCTCCATCTCCCCACTACTTTGCCCTCACCCCATCCCCACCCCAGTCCTAAGTGAGCTTCCTTTCCCTTACCTGTGGTGGCCATGGGTGTCGGGGCAGGGGGGTGGCTGGGGGCAGCGGGGGTCCCAGCTGGGGTCTGCCCACTGACCAGCACAGAGGCAGTGGAGCTGCTGAGGGGCCCCAGGCTGGCAGAGGTCTGTGGTGCAGTGGGGGCTCCTCCAGCCTTGTTCTGGAGAATGATTCCGGACGGCACCTGAGGAGGGGAAAGATGGTTAAGGGGTAGGGGCATATGCCAGGGATGGGGTGGTCAGGCACCAGGGACTGGGGGTGAGGAGAAAGCTGTAAAGCAAGAGGGATTGGGGATTAGCCTGGAGGGGAGGGGAGTGGAGCCAGTTCCAGCCTCCGATTACCTGGTGAAATCTTTCAAGAAGAGCCTTCGGCTGGGGCAGCGCTGGGAAGGGGGCCGTCACCATCTGGAAGCTCCGAGGAGGCGGTGGGGGGGGTGCTGTGGGCTCGGGGACCAGGTGGAGAGTCGGAGGGGGTGTAGGGGACTTGTGGGCCTGGCCTTGTGGGAACTGAAGCTGGAAGTCAGGTGGCGTGGGGGCTGGTAGCCTGGAGGACAGCTCAGAGGCCACAACAGAGGAGGTGGAGGCTGGAGGGAGGTGGGGAGCTGGGGGCAGGGGGCCCTCTGGGGGCTGGGATGGGGGACGCAAAGGGGGCTGGGGAGGCCCTGGGGCAGTGGAGGCTGGGGTGCTGGCAGGTGGGGGGACGCCCAGCTGATTCTGGATGACAAAGATGCCAGGCAGGGTCGGGGGAGCCTGGGGAGGAGGGCATGGGTGCAGGGCGGGCTCTGAGGGTGGACGGGACAAGCTCTGGGGCTGGGAGGGAGGACGGGAGTGGGGGCGTGAGGGTGGACGAGAAGGGGGCCGGGCAGGGTGTGGGGAGGGCAGATGGGGGCTGTCCCCCAGAGGGGCCTGGTGAGGTAGTGAGGGGGATGAGGAGGGGCCTGGACCCTTCAGTGGAGCCGATGCTGGGATCTGGGCAGGGGAGGGAGGCAGAGGGAAAGGGAGTGGGGGTCAGAACCAATCTTGGTTCCCACTGCCCCAAGATACTGGGGACACCAGCCACTCCCACTAGATACCCCCCTTCTGAGCCACCTGCTCCTGAAAGAACCGTGCCATGCCCATCCTTCTGAACTCCCCACCTCACCCCTCCTCCTGCCCACACCCCATCCTCCTCCATACATCCACCCTCTAATCTTACCCCCTCCCCATGTATGCCCAACCTCCCCAATTCCCCCAGATGAAGGCGAGCCCTGCAGGGTTTGGGGGGTGGCAATGAAGGAAGCAGAGAGGGCACCACACCAGCTGCCCAGCGGGAAGGCAGGGGCCAGGGAGCATGAGCACAGCAGCCAGGGGGAAGGAGACGGCAAGAGGGTGAGGAGGGGGGGCGGGTAGGGCAGCGTACTAGCTGCCACCAGGCCTTACTGTCCAGCTAACCCAGGAAAACACACATCAGCGTAGATGCCGCGGCTGCATACTGAAATGTGGTGCTGATGACAGGGAAGAGTACGGGTGGGGCCTGGGGACCAGGGAGCTGAGGATGGGGAGTGAAACAAGGGCAGGGCCAGGTCCCATGAGTCACAGGGCCCCTGAATATCCCGGGCACCCTGCCACCATATGCCTGTGTGGCATGGCTGCAGGCCGACCTGGGTGCCAGGAGAGCAGGCAGGTATGTGTGTATCTGTGTGCATGCAGGAATCACTCTCACAAGTGCCACTGGGCGCTATTCCTGTGATTCATACTCAGTGCCCTTGCCTAAAACACGCATCGGGCAGGCTGCCTTGCCCCTCTGCCCGCTCCTGCACCAGGACCACAGTCTTGGCCACTGCTGTTTAACTAGCAAGTGACAGCCATGTTTACCTGCCACTGGGCTGGCACAGAATCCACACCCCAGTCATCGCTCTCATGGTTCTGGCACACAGGGCAGCCAGTGTCACCCACTCAAGGTCTTCTCCATGGCCCAGACAGCAGTGATAACACAGCACCCACTCACACATAGAAACTGAAGCCTGGAACCGTCAATGACAGAGCCAGGTATCCAGACAGGTTGTCTTCCAACCTTAGCACTACCCAGGGCCTTCAAAGCTGACTGCAGAGGACTAGGCCTGAGGGGAACCAGGGGGCTTGCCCAAGAGCTGCCCAGTTCCAAAGTGGGCCAGCTGGTGATTTCCAAGTTACCCATTGCTTTCAGTCTCCCAGCCCCTGGACCCTTCTAGAAGCCTATCCACACTTAGCCCTGAACAAATCTGGCAATTCAAAGCAAAACCCAAAGCAAAAGCCTCTAACAAGCAATCCAAGTTATCTCCCTGGGCGCTCCTAACGGGCTGGGGGATGACCTCTCTGGAAAACTTCCTGGCCCAGTAACCAGTCACGGGTCACTTCACGAGAGGGATCCTCTCTGAGAAATGTGTGGTTAGGCAATTTCATCGTTGTGCGGATGTCATGGAATGTGATTACACAGACCAAGACAGCACAGCCTGAGGAACTCAAGGGACCAGTGTACATGCACGTGGTCCATCATGGGTGGAGACGTCGTTATGCAGGCGTGACTGTATCTACAATGGGGAACACAGCCCAAATGGTCCAGGGCAGGTGAGCAGCTATGGGACTAAGGACAAAGAGAGATGGTCTGTTCCACATAAACAAATGCTTCTGAGGGCCTAGAATGGTGGGGTACTAGGATACCAGCTGAGCTAAACGAGAAGAGCAGTGTGTTATGCCATCACCAGCTGACTGGTTAAGCTGGGTGATGGAAAAGAGGACAGATAACAGTTATTGTCTCTAATGCCCAATTTGCTGGATTTGCTGATTCTACTGTGGTCAAATAAGAGGATGTTCTTATTCCCTAGGACTGAAATGTTATGCTAAGACACAAAGGGCTAAGAGGAGAATGCCTGCAATTTATTCTCAGATAGTTCTGGAGAAAAATGTAGACATAGCAAGGGACGAAGGATAAAGCGAATGTAGCCACATATTAACAATGGGGAGATGCAGTGTGGTCCAAGCATCTAAGACAGCCACCCATGTGACCCCAGATGCTTAACTTCACTTGTAAGAGAAAAGCAAATGGAAAGTAGCCTTTGGAACCATTTTCACAATATGTAGAATAAGGCAAATACCTCATAAAATACCCATCCACTCATCCGCTTATCTACCCATCCACCTACTCATTCATTTGCTCACCCTCACCCCACAAACATTTATCAGGAGCCCTCCTTCTATAGCAGTAGGGATTGCTTCAGGCACAACAGCTGCAGAGGGCCTGCCCTGTTTGCGCCTAGGCATCAACTCATGTGTACAGCTGTATACAATGACCTTTCTTCTTAAAGGTCATCCAGAGCACAGCAGTGTTACTACTGCTGCTAGTGATAAGTATCTCTTCCTTGAGTATCTGCTCTATGCAGCACATGAGGTCGGTGACCTTATTCCTATTTTACAAATAAGTAAACTGCACCTTGGAGAGCTTGACTGCTAAGCAGAGCTGGGACATCCAGGCCTGTCTTTCTTAAGACCTTAGGTGCCTCTGGCAACAAATCAGGACTCGACTCCAGGCCCAACCAGCTGGATAAACCACTTCATCTCTCTGTGCCTGCGTTTCCTCATTTATAAAATGGGGCTAATGACACCACCTTCCAGACAGGTTGTTGTGAAGGGTAAGTGCAATACCTCTTGTATTTGTAAAGTGCATGGAACAGCACCTAGAAATAATAGAAATGTTATTACTCGTGCAGCTATTTACCATACTATCCTCTTCCTCATGCCACCAATCCTTAAGCAAGTTCCAAACTGTCCCCCAAATTCTTCTACTTCTCTCCATCATCACTGTGATCACCCTGGTCTGAGGCACTGCCAACTTGTCCCTGGATGTCGAGACCACCCATCTTGATCATGGACTTACATTTCTGTTTCCCACCAAAACACTTCCTAATGGAAGAGCATTCATTGAAAGTCATCTCATCACATGAGGCCATGGCCCAGCTGGAAGCTTGTCATTGGTTTCCCAGGCCAAACCCTTCTTGTGGTCTTGCCAGCCACTCTGACCCTCTCTCCCATCTCCTCTCACCTTCTTCCCATTCCCTGAACATCTCACGCTCAGCCCTGCCTCAGGACCTTTGCAAGTGCTATTTGAGCATCATGAGAAGGCTGCCCTATCACTCTACTCTACAAAGCGATTTCCTTCTCTTTACACCTCAGTTTAAATATTTCTCCCTCCCAGATGCCTCTCCTGCCAGCTCACTCTTCATAGGGTGGGCCCCCAATTTCTACCTCCCCATGGTTACCTCTGCTGCCCTCCCTGCCATCATCAGCACTCTCATCTATCCAGCTATGCACCTGAGTTTGGACAGCATATCTTACTAGAATGCTCTCTCTCTTGTTGATTTCACCATGGTGAATGCAGCACAGAGTTATTAGCACAGGGCGGGCGCCCCACCTGCGATGGGTTCTTCCCATCACTGCATTCTTGGGGTCCAGTAGGTGCCTGGCACGGGGAGACCGTGCAAGGACAGAACCACACAACTCACTGCCTTCATTATGCAGACATGAAACTATCAAAACTGCATTACAGTGAGGATGACATATGAAGTGCTCACCTTCTGATGGAATGAAGAAATGGGACACTACTGGGTGACTCCCTCCTTTATCCTAATCTACCTACCCACCAGTCCTTTTGAAGAAGTACAACATCCAATCCTCCAAAATGAAGGGTAGCAGTCCCCAATTTCTCATCTGCTTATGACTCTTATGATATTTAGGAAAATTAGCTGGTAATCTCACAGATCTCATAAATTTTCCTAAATCAGCAAGAAAACGACCTGTAACCCCAATCTATAAATGGCAAAGGGTATGAAAGACAAATCCATAAAAACTATAAACAACTCTAAATCTATGAAAACTGCCCAAACTCACTCACAGTCAAGGAAATGGAACTTAAAACAAACTAAGATACTATTTTTCATCTACCAGACTGGCCAAGTTCAATACATTACTGAGAACGAGGGAAAAAAGGCAAAGATCATACATTGTTGACGTATGATCAGCAATTCATACCCCACAGCAGGACAACTTGGCAGTATCTGGCAAAATGATACACACACCTGCCCTTCACCAGACCAGCAATTTCCTTTTGTAGAACCTGTCCTACAAAGTGACACAAGTTCAGAGCTGCTCTTTGCAGCACTGATCATAATAATTGCTAAAGACAGGACATGACCTAGATGCCCCAAAGCAAGGATTGGCTAAATAAATAACAGTACAGCCGTGTGTTGCTTAATGTGTCCACAGCTGACTGAAACACCCTTAGCAAACACGTGACTGTTCCCTCACACGATGGAATATTACACAGTCATATCAAAGAATGAAGTGCAGTCTCCAGGATGGACTTTGAAAGCTAAAAGCAGGATGCAAAACTGCCTGTGGGTAGACTATCACTTTTGTAAAAACAGAAGTAGCAAGTCAATAAAACTGAAAAACAAAACAAAACAAAACATGACTTAGAAACGCAGAGGTAATGAGCAGAAGGAAGGGTTAAGATATTAAGTCATTGACCCTAAGAAATTAACAAAGGCTAGTGACCTGTTATTTTTGCTGCTGCTTATAAAAATTTTTTTGTCCTTTACAATTATGAATATGTATTACTTTGAAAAAGTAAAATATGATTATAAAAGAAAAAAAAAAGGAAGAATCTATGTGTTATTTTGCTCGTGCATGCATGGAAAAGGATGTCAGAAACATCTCAGGGAAGAGGGGGCTTTTCACCATACCTTTTGGTGTCTTTTGAAATGTGAGCTCTTGGAATGTATTGATGACATGAAAATGATCATTTTTAGGACACAATCATTTCCTGCTGTATTTTTACCCCCGCCTGGAGTGTGGGCACCCCCGGGGCTGGCCCTGGTCTGAAGCATGTTGGACTATCAGGAGACCTTCAGGAGAGCAAAGGGGAGTGCCGTTTCCCAAGCCAGCGAGACAGAGAGGCAGGCAGGGCAGCCAGAGAGCAAGGAGGGGGAAGCAGGGAGCAAGGTGAGGGGGCCAGGCTGGGGCTGAGCTGAGGACACAGGCTGCTGGGGTTCATCTACCTGGGGGGCCGGTGCCGGGGAAGCCTGGCTGTCGGGGGCCTGAGGGCCGAGGCCAGCTCCTTTGGCGACGGGGGTGGTCGGGGCTGGGTCTTGGGCGGGAGGCGGGGCGCTGACTATGACCGAGGCGGGCACGGAGAGGTGGGGGCCCTCTGTGGAGAGGGGCTGCTGACTCCTCTCCTGAAATGGGCAGCCCCACAGGGTCAGAAGGTGACCCCCATGGACCATCAACCTCCCCACCTGGAGACTCCACCCCCACTGATGCTCTAGAGAATGGGGTGGGGGGGGAGCAGTGGGAGGGGCACTGAGGCTGGATGCAGAGGCCAGAAAGGCTGGGCACCCTGGCGTCCAGGTCCCAGGAGGCCGCGGCCTGGTAGCTGATTCCATGCAGCTCCACCTTGCCCTCCATCCCTTCTGCCCCATCTGTCAGTCCACCCAACCGTGTCTTGCTCCCTCTATGATCCTTCTCAATCTCCAGCAGGGGTGCAGTCAGCCATCCCCTCTCCCTGTCTATCAGTTCTTCTTGTCAGTCTATCTGTCAGGTCAGTTCCAGATCTATCTGCTAGTCCCTCTCCTTTCTGTCTGTCAGTCCCTTTTTGCTGATCTGTCTATCCTTTTCTTTACTGTCCATCAGTCCTTGTCACCCTTAGGGATGCCTATACTGGGAGCAGGGGTGCCACTGCTGAGAGAATCCCCCCAAACCCATAAGACCCTCCAAAGTTGTGTCTAGTTTCACCCGTTTCCAGCCGCTCTCCACACCGCCCTTGCTACCTGCTCTGTTGCCCCTACCACCCGTTGCCTGCCCGCAGCCCTGGTTACCTGTGGCAGGAACACCTGCAGGGGGTCCTGAGTGAGGATAGCCGTGGTGGCAGCGGAGGGCGGCTGCCCCAGGACGATCTTCTCTGGGCTGGATGCCAGGCCTGGGCTGGGCTGGGGGGTGGTGGCCTGAGGTGGGGCAGTGGCCTGAGGGGTGGGGGCCTGTGGGGCGGGCGGCTGCTGTGCCTGTGGCTGCTGGAGGCCCAGAGGCAGCGGGGTGCTGACAGTGGGGGGCGCCTGGGGAGCTGTCTGCACAGCCAGGACAGGTGTGGCCTCCCCGGCGGCAGCCGGGGTGGCCGGCTGCACCAGACCATCAGGGGCATTCAGCATGGCCACGGCACTCGGGGGGAGAGTGACCCCCTGGAGGACGGTAGTGGCAGCAGGGCCAGTGGGGGCCGGCTGGCTCTGTGTGGGCAGGCTGCCCGCGGCCAGTGACACAGGCATCTGGAACAGGGCCGGCTGGCCCACCTGGATAGGGGCGGCTGAGAGGATGTGGGCTGCACTGTGGGCCCCAGAGTGGGGGGCCAGCACAGGGCCCAGGCTCAGAGGGCCGGCCAAGTTCTGGTTGGTGAGGATGGGGTTGGCGATGAGCTGTCCGCCTGCATGTGGGGCTGCAGCCGCCAGGATCTGCCCGCCCACATTGGCCGGCAGAGCTGAGAGTGACTGGGGCAGCTGGACTGCAGATGTGCCGGGCAGCAGGAACTGGTTCTGGCCTGGCAGCATGTGCTGGGCGGGGATGACGATGCTGCTGCCTTGATTCAAGAGGTGGACACTCATAGGCTTGCTCAGAGCCCCAGGAGGCTGTGGGGGGGCTGCCCCCGTGGTGGTGGCTGGAGGCTGTTTAAAGACGTTGGCCTGCAAGGCAGGCGCCGGGAAGCCTGAGAGCACCACGTTCTGGCCGGCCTTGCCTGCCGCCATGAAAGTCAGGTTCTGGGGGGCCTTGGGCTGCTGCGGGAGGCCCCCCGCCTCACCCTGGATGGTAAGCGTGGCGCCTGCGGGGGCGAAGGGCTTGGGTGTCAGCTGGTAGAGCTTGGGGGGCAGCACCCCAGCAGGCTTGGGCTGGATGGGCGTGGGGGTACGGTGCAAGATCACATTAGGTGCTGGAACCAGAGATGACGTGCCAAGGCCTGGGGCCACCGCCAGCGGCTGTCCCGAGGGTGCCCCACTGGCCGCTGCTGCCGTGGCAGCTCCTGCTCCTCCAAATACTGAGTTCCCATTGAGTGTGGTGGCCACGGCAGCTGGGAGGTTCTTCTGGATGACCAGGCCAGCCCCCTGGGGCGAGACGCCAGCTGATGCCAGTGTGACTGGCTCTGAGGGGCCGGCTGCCGAAGCCAGATAGCCACTGACCGGCACTTGCTTGGCCAGAAGCTGGGAGGTGGGTGGGTTGAGTGCCATCACGGGCTGGCCCACCACCTGGATGGGTGCCAGGCCAAGTGTGGCAGCTGTGGCACCCCCAGGACTCCCATTGGGAAGGCCCTGGAGGCCCGGGATGGGCTGCAGGGTCACATTGCCCAGGCCCACAGGCTGCAGGAAGGGCTGGACACTCAGTGCTTTGTTGACCACATCCTGGGGTGGCACCAGGGCTTGGTGGGTGAGCACGGTGGGTGGGGCCTGCAGCCCCAGCAGGTCAGTGCTGCCAGGGAAGAGGGCTTGGGGCCCAGCAGCCACAGCAGCAGCGCCTCCAGCCCCTGCCTGGCCTGACCCAGTGTCCGCGGGCTGCAGGGTGGGCAGCTGGAAGGGACCCAGGTCCAGCTCGGCCTCAGCCTCCAGCGTCTGCTCAGTGATGTTGGCCTCTTGCAGGCTCTGCTGGAGGATGTCACAGGGCTGGTCAGCACTCCCACCAGCACCTCCGCCGCCCCCTGCGGCCGGCGAGCCCAGGATGTCATCTTCTAGGAAGTCTAGGTCCACACTGGGGGCCGGTTGGCTAGACTCCGGGTTCAAGTGGTTACCAGGAGCTTCTTGCACGTGGAGCTGGAGACAGGTGGGAAGAAGGCAAGAGCTGAGATGAGCAAGGGCGGGCTCAGTCACGGCTAAAGCAAAGGACAAGAGAGTCAGAAAGAACCCTCCAGCTGGAGGTAGTAGGATCCAGGTTCAAATCCTAGCTCTGCTAGGACTGAACTTGCAACCCGGGGCTTGCTTCATCCAGCCCACTTCCTCATCTGTACACTAGAGTAGGATGTTGTGGAAACCCCGCTTTAAATAGCCACACAGGCTCCTCCTACTGCCCTGTGATTCCAAAACCCAAGAGGTGCTGAAAACCACGAATGTTTTTTTAACTCATTTGGCCGCAAAACCTGTCCAGAACCTAAGCGGGGCTTCTGGGGAGTGGCCAGATTTATTCACATTAGGTAACTCTTCTGAAGCTTGGCCAAGGAAAGGTGAGGGGGAGGCTTATGTCACCTGCAGCCCACACCCATTGTGGGCCACCTTTGAAGAATCCGGGGACCTGCGTGGCCTCCAAAATTTTGGAAGAAAGATGGTGATTCTATTAAAGATAAAGCAGCACCCTCCTGCTATGTGTGTGATGGATGTGGGGTATGGGAGATGCTTTGACTTGATCTGGTGAATGTCGGGCTCTCCCTCCCCTCTCTCTCCCTCCCTCCCCTCAGCTGTGAGCTGTGAATTTGACACTTCTTTGATGTTTTCTTTGCTGTACCAGGTCACAACCAGACACAAGTTATTACAAGAGTGCAACAAGTGTGCAGGTTTGAGCAAACCTTCCACAGGCAACAAGTATACCTACGCTCGTGTCTGACCAGCTCTCAGAGCAAAGATTTCACATCAGTTTACCTGCCTTGGAGCACGTGCCCAAGAAACATTGATGGCCTCGATCACTGTCATTATTATCACTGTCCACATCCTCCTCATCCAGTGAGGTGGGCACTGTCCCCATGGCCTGGATCACCCTGGCACAAGGGTGCTCTGGCTTGGTTGCCAACAGAGGATGGAGTAACTCTGAGTGTTTAACCTCTAAATGGTCCTAACTAAACCCCAACCTTGCCTCCTGGGAGAGTCGAGACATTCACTGACTTCACATAAAGGAGGTGTTTAGAACTTTTTAACATTATAGACCAACATATCATCAATATAAACATTAAAGTCAGAAATGAATGACAGTGGGCCTCCCCGGTGGCGCAGCGGTTGAGCGTTGGGTTGCGAAGCTGCCCGCAGCCTCTGCAACGCCGGTTCGATCCCCGGCTGCGCCCCGGCCACCGGAGGAGGGTCCCACATGGCGCGCAGACCTCTCCTGCCGCCCGCTGCTCCCCTCAGCAGTGTACTTCGGTCCTTCTGCCTGCTCTGCTCCCCGCTCTGGCTCTGGTGAATTCTCTCACCCTCCCAAGCTTCTCACTGTACCCAGTGCATGTATAAACAAAAACAAACAAACAAATAAATAAATAAAACATGCCTCTATAAAAAACAAAACAAAACAAAAAAAAGGAATGACAGTAATAAGAAGAAAGATTATATGCTAGTATTATAGCCTCATCTGTCTAAAAATGCAATAGGGGGCCTCCCCTGGTGGCGCAGTGGTTGAGCGCTGGGCTGTGAAGCTGCCCGCAGCCTCTGCAGCGCCTGTTCGATCCCCGGCCACTGGCGAGGATCCCACAAGGCGCGACAGATCTCTCCTGCCATGCCTGCTGCTCCCCTCAGCAGTGTATTTCGTCGGTCTGCCTGTTCTGTTCCCTGCTCTGGCTCTGGTGAGTTCTCTCACCCTCCCACGCTTCTGACTGTACCCAGTGCTTGTATAAATAAATAAAAATAAAAAATAATAAAAATAATAAAAATGCAATAGGAAGGTGATGCGGTCACTCACCCCAGAACCTTCATAGAAGGCACTTTGGGCCTCCCCGGGGTTATCCAGGAGGTCATCACCGTCGAGCTGCAATGAGAAACCCCCAAGTGAAAGGTCAGCTGGGGGTAGGCCCACACTGTAGAACAAGTACTAATTTAGGACAAGGTGGAAGGACAAGTATTGGGTCAGGATGGGTGAGGGGTACAGGGACCTCCAGAAAAGGGCTTGACAGCAGGTTTCAAACCCCAGGCATCCCCAACCTGCTGCTGCTCCCAGCCCCAGCACTCACCTTCTCGGATCCATGTAAGAAGTCGTTGAGGGCCTGAGGGTCACTGAAAAAGAAAAGAGGAAGAGATACTGAGGAAGTGAGGGGCAGGGGAGGACAGGGCAGGGAGGGGAAGGAGCCCGTTACTCACCAAATCACGTCTAGTAAGCATCTCCCATCCTCATCATCCATCGCCACTGGGTGCGGCAGGGCAGGAAGGGGCAAAGGAGACAAGATTAGCTTCACCAGCAAGCCAGGCCCTCCCGTCTCTGAGACAGCTCCCGAAGCCCCAGGAGAGCCAGGGTTTCTATTCCCTTGAGTCTGTGGATATGGGTGGGAGTGGGGAGCGCTCCCGGCTGCCCTCCCCACAGAACCTCCAGACAAGGGAGGACAGTGGCCTTTTCTGCACCCTTCCTACCCCTGCTCCCCCCACTCTCTTTCCCCGGCATCTGATAAAACCACAGAGATGACATCAGCCAGTCTAAGGAAGTCTAGATCACACAGGTCTCACAACACTGAACTCATTGGCCCCGTGGAACCCCACCAGGTGGGTGCCACGATCCTGCTCTGTAGATGATGAAAGGGAGGCATCTCCCAGCTGTCAGGTGGCAGAGCCAGTCCTCGAGCCTGAGCCTGTGCTCTTCACCCCCAGACCCCCTGAGAACAGGACCTGGTCCACGAGGGGGCAGTGAGGGTCTCTCCTACCACTGAGCAGATGAAAGGGGCTGAGGGGAGGGAAGGAGGGAGGAGAGGCACCGAGAAGGGCTTCCCAGGTACTGGGTCCCCTCGAAGACATGTGGTGCATTTCTCAATGAAGGAAGGGGGCAAGAGGACCAGGGCAGAGGAGAGGGGGAAAGGGACCAGGAGCTGCTTCACAGTTGGGCCATCAGCCGGGGCCAGGGCAGCCATGTAACCCAGAAGCACACAACAAGCGACACTGCGCTTCCGAAGCTGGCCGTGGGGATCGTTCCCAGAGAGGCCTGTCCTCAGCTCCCGGTGGTGCCAGCGTGACCCCACCTGTGCCTCCTTCCCGTGTGCCCAGGCTGCAGACTACTGGGTTCTGTCCTTCCCAACCAGCCCATGGGGAGAAGGTCCACTCAGGAACAAAAGGACAAGATGTGCAGAGCTGGAGAAATGGGGACAGGCAGAGGAGGCTCTGCCCACAGCAGGCAGGAGACCAAGGGAGGGCCCAAGTGGCCCCAGGACCCGCGCTGCTGAGGGAGGGGTGAAGGATTTGCTAAGTCAGGCTCTGCAGGAAGGAATGTTCCTCCCGCATCTGGGAGGCTCTGTGTCCAGGAAGGGAGAGTGAGGGGGCCATGGCTCCCCCCGGAATGAACTGGGCACCCCCCGCTGGTTACCTGCGCTACAAACGAATCATGAAGGGAAGGAGGGGGTGTCCACTCCAGGTCTACGCCGGGCCCCCAGCTGGGGACTTGGTGTGTGTCCTTTCGGGGGCCAGCTGTGGAGACAGAACGAGAAAGGCTGTGAGTGAGAATGTCTGGAAAAGGGGAAAGATGAGACAAGTGCAAGACAGAACAAGAGCAAGAGGCAGAGCAGAGACAAACAGGTGGAGTGGAAGAGGGGAGAGAGAGGAAGGGAGGGAGGAGGCCGGGGTCGGGGTAGGACAGGAGAGAGAGAAAGGGTCAAAGAGATGATGTCAAAAGGAAAATGAGAAAAGCAGAGGACAAATAAGTTGAGACCCACATGAAATACCATACTTTATCATATATGTGGTACGTGTTATATGACAGGCACATCCATCTAATAACAGCAGTCATTTCTCCTTCTTCAAGGTAGTCCTGTTCTACAAAGTCTATAAAGTCACCGCGTCCACTCAATTATGAATCCTGAGTCATCATTGCTGCTGGGGAGACACTGACTCGGCTCCTTGTGAGCTGCTGGCAAAATTTTCATCACCCCACCAAACATCACTGGGTTTTGTGTGTGTTCCTGTTTGAAGACCCCGCGTTCAGGCTGCCCTGATGATGCTCGGCCAGCAGCACTGGCCCCAGAGCCTGCAGGAAGTGCATCTAAGGGTGGACACCCCAGTCTCCCAGCGTTATGCTCGGGGGCATTTTAAATAGTAAAAGCCCCAACGAAAAGGACAAAACCGCAAGAACCTGGCACAGAACAGACCACGAGAACACTTGTGTACAGCACAGAGCCGAAGCATGAGGGCACACCTCGGCTGGGACCGTGCTGTGGGCAATGCACTAACCACTGCCCACGCTGGCCAGTGACCAGGAAAACGCTGGGAGTCCTGATGCGGGGGGAGGGGGTTGATAGTGAATAGGTGAGTTGGCAACTGTGGAGCCAGTGAATAATGAGAACTGGTTGTAATGAGGATGGTCACAAGCCCACAATGGGACGGTCACTGGTTTTAAGGACTCTACATAAATTAACCCATTTCACCTCTCTCCAGCCTGCTGAGTTAAGTACTTTTATTGCTAGCTCCACTGTATGGATGAGAAAACTGAGGTTCAGAACATTTAAACAACAGGCCTGAAATTCCCGAAACTGGGAGACAGCCAGGCTGGGATTTCAGCCAAGGCGGGCTAACCCCAGAGATCCCGCCCTTAACCGCTACCCCACAGACAATCCTCTCATCTTGTCCTTTTTCTTTTAAAATCTAAAGCAAATATGGCAAAAATTTCAAGATAAGATGGAGCTGGGTGAAAATGTACATGCCTTTGTTATCATTTTATGAATGCTTGGAATAGTCCAGATTTGAAACAGAGATAAAAAGAGTAGCTTGGAAGAGAGGGGGTGGGGAACATGGAATGGCTTGCCCTCTTCTCCTGGAGTCAAAGGCCTTTGGAAGTATCTAAAAGCATCTGTCTCAGGTGCTGGGAGCATGAGATCCTACCCTCTGCTAACAGGCACATGCCCTGGCTGGAGGTGTCTGCAGAGCTCCTAATCCAGGTAATTTCTTCTCTCCTCTCTGCTAAGAGTGCCAGGAGCCAGACAAAGACTGCAAACCTCCTAGCAGCAGAACTAAAGCCACGAGGGGGTGTCTCCTGCACAGGCTTTTCCATGGGGCCCAGGTGAATGCTCAGTGGGAGGCTGAGACTTCTCTGGGAGAATTCTTTATCACGGTGATTTCATTCCAATGGTAACATTAAAGGAATGACTGGGGGAGATGGAGGTGTCCCTTCCAAGAGGGTTTTGAACTGAATAGCTCACATTTGTGCATTTCAATGCCATGTAGATTTTGCCTTAAAGAATTGTGAAAAAATGAATGATCACAAGGAGAGGGACTGGAGGGGAGGGAAGGGGCCAGAGGGCACGGAACAAGCATGACTAAAATTTGGTAGCTACTAAAGCTGTACTTGGGGTACCTGAGGGCTCATCATACCAGTCTAGAGACTCTCTATATTTCTGAAAGATTCCCTGACAGGAAGAAAACAATATATCCGTCATCAGCAGGGCTGGAGTTCTTGTGCCAGGCTGGCATCTGTGTCTCCCAGTGGGTTTATGCCAAGAGGTCCAACATGCGGTGACAAGTCTGGGATCAGAAACAGGGGTTTGAATCCCAGCTCCCCCATATAGGGATCTGGAAGGTCAGAAATGGGAAGAGGAGCCAGGGTTGGCTGCAATTTTAACAAACACTCCAGATTCCAGTGAAGGCGTCTGCACTGCAGAGGTGCACCTGTGCCCCCCCCCCACCCCCCGAGTGCTCACTGGGAGTCTTGACCAATAACAGTGCTTTGCAGCAGAGGTGGCTGGTCAATGCAGGCTCTGCAGCAAGACAGCCGGGCTCCCATCCCATCGCTGTCCCTCAGCAGCTGTGTGGCCGAGGTCAAGTTCCTTAGCCCTCGGTGCCTCGGTTTCCTGATCTGCAAAAGGGTATAACAGATGCCACCTCCCCTCTACCAGACTATTATATATTAACCTTTAATCCTCAAGTGAAACAAAGTATTTTGCAGGCAGCTGTACTCACTCCATGTGCTATTGTGAGTATTATCTACTGCAGCGACTCCCAAAGCTTCCAGCCAAAGTCCAGGGTGGACAAAAGTCGCATGGCCCCAGTCTCTCCACTGGGTGCCACTTGCTGTGGGTCACCCATGAGCATGCTGGGAAGGGCTAATGTCTAATGTGCTTCAGTCCTCTCAACCTTCTTAAATTGCCAGGCACCAAGCCTCCCATTTTACCATTTCTCAGGTAAGATGAATGAAGCTAAAAGGAGCAATTCTGGGAAACTATGGACCAGCACAATAACACAAGGGTATCGGCCCACAGGGGTTGCTGACCAGGTCTCCTGAGCTCTCTCCACAGCAGGTAGGGGCCCAGCACCCACCTCTCAAAACACAAGGGCACCCACCAACTGTTGAAAGAAAGTTGAGTCTGAACCCAGCCTGGGTAGTTGATGCCAGTAAGGAACTGTGATTAAGATGCCAGGTGTACTAAGTGGCATCATGTTCTTTTTTTCTCTCCTTAGAGACCTTACCTTTTAGAACTATCTCCTGAAACACCTAGGGGTGAAATGATAGAATGTCTGTGATTTGCTGCCAAATAATTCAGGTTTGTGGGTGTGCAGGGGGCATGGAGACGCCTGTTGTGTAGCATCAGAGCCACCAGCCACAGGTGGCTGTCTGTGTACCTGGAAGTTCAAGTCTCAGGCGAACCTTGTTTCACTGTACAGCACTTGATTGTACTTTGCAGATGGCACTTTTTACAAACTGCAGGTTTGTGGCAACCCGCATTGGGTGAGTCTAGCAGGGCCATGTTCCTGGCAGCTCATGCTCATTCATGCCTCTGCATCCCACTGAATTTAGGTAGGTGCTCTGCTTTTCAGACATAATACTATTGCATGCTTAACAGACTGCAGTGGCGTGTAAACAGCCTTCACAGGCACCAGGAAACCGCTTTATGTTGATATGTTTGACCGCGGTGGTCTGGGCCTGCACCCGAAAGCCTGTCATTAAAATGCAATGAAATCAGGGCCTCCCTGGTGGCGCAAGGGGTTAAGACACAACCTATGAAGCTGTCCACAACCTCTGCAGCACAAGTTCGACCCCCGGGGGCCAGGGAGCAACCCACATGGTGCAGCAGACCTCTCCTGACTCGCCCGCTGCTCCCCTCAGCAGCGTACTTCGGTCAATCTGCCTGTTCTGTTCCCCACTCTGGTGAATCCTCTTACCCCCCACACCTCTGGCCTGTATCCCAGCTCTTGTCTGCATAAATAAATAAATGTTTTTAAAAAATGCAAGGAAATCAGCATTAAGGACTTGAATAGACAATCCCCCCACAGACATCTGTGTATCAAAGAAGAGCTACAAATGGCCAATAAGCACATGATGAGATGCTCAACATCACTCACCCTTAGGGAAATGCAATCAAAACAGCGGCTACCACCTCACACCCCTCAGGGCAGCTACTCTGAAAACCCCCATAAAATAACAAGTACGGGTGGGCATGTAAAACTGCAGCTGCTGTGGAAAACAGTTTGGCGGTTCCTCAAACAATTAAAAATAGAAATTGAATTTCCGTATGATCTACCAATTCCATTTCCAGGTGGGCACCCCAGATAATGGAAAGCAGAGGCTCAGAGAGAGATTTGTACAGCAGCATTGTTCACAGCAGCAAAACCATGGAAGGGGTCCAGGTGTCCGCACGCAAATGGGTGAATGGCTAAGCAAAATGTGGGCGGGCCTTACAGATCAGGAAGGAAATTCTGGCACAGGCTACTGCTAGATGGACCTCGGTGACATTAGGCCGAGTGAAATGAGTCAGAACAAAAACACAAATACGGTAAGACTGCACTTCAAGTAGGCAAATTCACAGAGACAGAAAGCAGAATGGAGGATGCCAGGACTGGAAGGGGGGTGGGAGGGAGGACGGAGAGTTACTGTTTCATGACAGTTTCAGTTTTGCAAGATGAAGAGAGTGCGTGGCTGGCCTGCGGGGATGGCTGTGCAAGGACAGTGCCACTAAGCTGGACAATAAACATGGCCAAGATGGTAAATTTCACGTCCTCTGTATCTGCAGGGAAAATGGAGTCATTTGGGCCACGAACCTTCCTGCCACGAACCTCTAGGACCTTATTCTCCTCTCAGGTTTTGTTGCCCACACGTTATAACGAGTTATTGCAAAAAGCACTTGGGAGCACGAGCACGTGTGGCGTATGCATTTATACATACAGGCACCGGGCAGAGAAGCTGGAGAGAACGGGCATAGGTACCTATTGATGTAAGTACTGAAGCCCAAGCTGAGAGACTGTGAGAGCTAAAGGGGAGAGGAGGAAAGAAGCCAGAGAGAGAGAGCAGGGAGATCATGGGTCTGGGAGGCTCAGATGCTGCCTGCCTCCCAGCCTCCCTGCCCACTGTCTGCCTGTGTACCTGGGTCCCCTGCTTCAGCATTAAACACCTGTCAAATCTACCCAGGGCTCCGAGATTCCT